CATTTTCAAAGCCATTCATGGCCTTGCCCCCTCCTACCTCTCTTACCTGCTGACTCCCTACCAACCTGCCTGCTCCCTCTGTTCAGCGGGCTCCGGCCTGCTCCATGTCTCCCGCCTGGCGCGCCCTACCATCGGTGGCCGGGCTTTCAGCCTCGCTGCCCCCACACTCTGGAGCTCCATCCCACAGTCCCTTCGCCTCACTTCCTCCCTTGACTCCTTCAAGGGTGGTCTCAAGACCCTCATCTTCGATTGTGCCTTCGGTTGCCCTCCCACCTCTCTGCCTTTCCTCACCCCAACACCCCCCCTCCCCCATTCTCAAGTCCTGACCCCTGACAGCACCTTGGGACGTCCTCCCAACTTAAAAGGTGCTCTATAAAGCAGGTGCAGGTATGGGTGTAGGTGCAAACTGCTGCTGGTGGTGCTCAGCCACAGGAGGCCATTCGTCATTTGTAAATAGAAGAGTAGAGCAGCACAGCCGAGTTTCATCTTGGAATCCACCCACACCTGCATCATTGGATAGCAATTAGGATTGTTTCTTTGCCACTCCTCAAGCTTCAGGATGTCAAGCCATCAGTCTGACATCAGTTTATACAGCACAGACCACAGCACAATCGCCTCCTATTCTGGAGTTGGTTCACCCACCAACTGGACCATTTGAACCACCTTCTGAGTATTCACTGTAAAGTACGTCTTTACTCAATGTCTGCAGTTCAGGCATTTGTATGTACAAAACAAATGTGCTTTCACCTCGTACCTTTCGTGTTAAACAGACGCCACAATACACTTCACAAAATAAAGTTGATAAGAAATTTTGTTTTAAAAAAATTGGCAAACATGCCAGCAAATCTGCAACTGTAACATGCCATAGACGGTGGCCTGAAATTCCACCCATGTCTCACTTAGCCTGTAAAGCCACTTTGTCTCAATTTAAGATTGTGCGGAATTGTGGAAAATACTTTAATTCAGTCTTAATTTGGAAGGCTGTTTTGCAAGGCTCTTAAATTCAGCCGTAATTTGAAACATAGAACATTTTGAGTATGGTCCACAATTCTCCACTGTAATAAAAATTTGAGGGCAAAACTGGGTCACAGGGTAAATCTAGGTGAAAGGTTAGGCAAATTAATTTAACTCGGAATTCAATTAATTTGAATTTGGGGGAGAATGGAATATAAAACAGGTTAACAAGCAAAATACATCCATTGTAAGTTAGTGTGTACACGCATCTGGGACTTGGAGAAAGTTACGTTTAACTGGTTAGTACAAATGCAGATTACTTAAGTGTATGTATATATATTAAAATAAAAGTTAAATGTAACAGCGTATTTGCTCACTGGTGTATACATGTGTTGCCAGAGGTAAGAATTAGTTTGAAGCATGTGTCAAGGTTTTACAGTAGTCCGCCCTCTTGCTTTCTGCCACAAGGCTTGATGCTGTTAAACAGCCGGCTGGAAGCTCGACTCGACCCAAACCCATTTGTTGCGGTTAAGAGTTAACCACAAAACTATTACATCAATTGATTTGTTTGCAAATTGTACAACATCATAGTCCATGAAGGCTATAAGGTTGCAAAATGTTAGCAGTGTGTATGGGATCAATGTTGACACAGTGTGTAATAACCAAACATTACCCAACTCTGAGGGTTTCTCCATTGAAATACATAACTGGCAAGAAATCGGTCTGTGGCTTACTTTACTTCTCCTTTTCTTCAGATCTTTTTTCCAATCTTTATCTTTCTGTCCCAGTCCTGTTCCCAATGTGGTGCTCACACATTTTCTTGTTTTAAAAAAAAACAAAGTTTTCCCTCAATTGTCACTCTTTCCCTCCTCTCCGGACCTGGTCGATCAGATCAACTGGAACTCAATGTTCTCAACACAGGTGAAATATCTCAGAGCAGTAATGACTTCACCTGGGCCTGATTGACTGGGCACCAAGTCAGTCAAACTAATTGCTTATTAAAGTCTAACCTCGATTATGATGCCTAGTGTTGAAATCATAGATTCTGAACATTAGGGTCTCCATGAATAAAGCACCTTGTGCACAGGTCTGCACAATAAATAAACAAACAAACAAATAAATAAATAAATAAATAAATAAATAAAGATAATTTAGTCACTCAATTCATGACTGTTTGTGGGACACTGCTGTGTTCAATTGCCTGCCGCATTTCACTTACAAAATTTACAGTCATTTCACTTTACAGTATATTCTGTGAGAGCACTTTGAGGTGTCTCGAAGATCTGATAAGGCATTATATTGAATTCAAGGATTATTGTTATTATGCAGCAAAACGTTTGATTGATTATTTTGTCCCCATTATGCGGCACAAACTTGCAAAACCTGACTTTTCAGTGAATCACAATATTATGTATAATTGCGAATTAATTGTAACTATGAATTTGTAATGTACTCATCAGGAGCTGGGGTGAGACTTGTTCATTCCACACAGAAACAAACCCCACAGCCAGTAAAGAGATGTTCATCCAGCCTTTGCTGAGTGTAATTCAATGCTTCAAAGACTTGAAAGTGCATTGTGCCTTTCTCTCTCTCTCCCCTTCGCCCCCCTCCCCTCCCATTTACAAGTATAATGTACCTAATTCACTGAACTGCAGGTGATAAAGGAAATATTTTACCATTTTTTCCAGTTTGTGAGATTTCAAGTAAAAATCCATCACAAAGCAACATTTTGCAATTTATTCCATTCCAAAAATCTTCTCAGGGGAATAAGACAATAGACAGCAGTAACATCTTAAAACATATTTTACAATTGGAAGAGATTTTGTTTCCTCCTGAGGAGATTGCCTTTTTCTATAAAGATGGTTGAGCAGAGTGCACTCATAAATCAGTCATTCCTGCCTTTCTCTACCCTGCCTGAAGGTCAAAAAGCAGCAACAGACACAGAAACAAACTCTTTCCCATCAATCTCTGTTCCACTTGCTGCCTGAACCGGTGGTAGTTCCCACAAAGTCATTGGCAGCTTTTGGGGTTTGCACATATTTTCAGCTTTTACCCACATCCTTCTCTCAAAATAATAATCCTTGCATTTGGGATCAAAATGCTTCACAGGATACACTGTAAAGTGGATTGACTGTGTATTATATGGGTGAAATAAGGCAGCCAGTTGCGCACATCAGTATCCCACAAACAGCCATGGAGTGAGTGACCAATTTATTTTGGGGGGATTTGTTGGCCAGGACACTGAGAGAAACATTCTTCTCTTTTCGAATAGTGCCATGAATATTTTACATCCACCTGAACAGGCAGATAGGATCTCGGTTTAATGTTTCATTTGAGAGATGGCATCTCTGACAATGCAAAATCCCCTCCCCTCACCCAGTATTGATGGCCATTGAATAAGCCATTTTACATGAAATTTACCTTTTAAATAACCTACCCACATGCAAACAATCTATTAAGGCCTCCTGCTCCCAGAGTAAGAGCACCTGGATCTCCAAGTAAATAGATTTGTTTGTGAATTGATTAATATACCTTGAAAACAATTTACTGTCAGGAGTTTTCCCAACATTCCAGCCATTCAGTCTCGTTTATATTCTTAACGTTAAATTCCTATGGATATGCCATAACCCAAACTAATTAGATATATATGCAATACACATGAACTTTGGAATTAATGGAATACAATTCAGAAGAATCAGATCTGAAGTCAGAGAGCCTGAAGGTTTGTACTTCCTCCTTATGATGGGAAATTGCATTAGAAAGATGTAATGGAAAGATTGGTATTTTCAGCAATTGATGTGAATAACCTAGATTTAAAAAAAATTCAGGGTTCAGACATTCAGTTTTTTTTTCAGTTGGTAGCGTTTCCAGTTGTGTGTGCAGGCCCCATAACAGGATTTTAACCTTGCAATCCAGGATATTCCAATGCAGTATTGGGGGAATTCTGTATTGTTAGAGGTGGCGTCCTTCAGATGAAACATTAATCCGTTCAGATGGAAGATCCCATAACACTATTCAAGCACATCTCTCAGCGGTTTGGCCAACAATCCTCCAATCCATATTAAGCAGTTATTCACTTTATGACTGTTTGTGGGATTTTTCTGTCCACAAATTGGCTGCTGCATTGGTCTGCATATACACAGTCAAGAAGCTCAATAACAATTCTCTTATCAAGTGATGCTTTGAAATGATGGATGCAGTATCATCAAATGCAAGGACTATAATTGTTAATCTAATTGTTCAAACAGAAGTTACAGCAGGAGTCTGTGGATCGTGATTGTGCAGTGTTCAGCCCAGTGACCCTGAACCTTCCCTGTCATAACCTTAATCTATATCGGAAGGACTGAAATTTCAACATTCCCAGTTCTGACAAAAACACAATTGATAAGATTTATTTTAAGGTTAAGCAGCGGAATTGCGACACCAGTGTGTGCGCAAAATAAACATAAACACGAGACGCCAACAAACTTTTAGCATGCAAAATGGACAAGGATAACGCGAAAATAAGCGTATTCATCATATATCAGTGTAATAGACACATGCAATCTGACTTGCACAGTGCTTAGTAATAATAATGATAATAATATCGCCAATGGAAGTAAACTGAAAGTGTTTGGTCTGTAACAGCATCACAGATGTGCTTCTGACACAAACAGCCTCCAGTGTAGAGATAACAGCCAAGGACCCGGGTTTAGGTGCCCTGCAATGCTGCTGGAACTGAAAGCCTGAGGGTAAAACTGCAAACGTGCAGTCAAGCGATAAGATCTGCACGAAAACCACCAGACACTGCGCTGGTGTGTGGAAAGCCAAGAAGCACCGAGCTGGAAAGCGAGGCGACTCCCCTTCTCAGTGAGCTGCACACCACGCGTTTGTGTTGCTGCAGGTCAGGCAGGGCTTCCCTGCAGCTCTCTGTAGGGCTTTGGTCAGTGTTAACAGGAGGCGTGGACCAGCTCTCCAGTGTGTGTGTGTGTGTGTGTGTTTGAGTTAAACCCTCCCAGACTGATCGCCTCTCTCTCTCTCTCTCTCTCGCTATGGTAAGGCAGCTGCTCAAAGCTTTATTCCCAACTGTATACATATTTTTTTTTAAAAAAAAACAAGCTGAAGCTTTAACCTGGAAGACAATGACAAGACAGTGTTTTCCTGAAGACAACCTGGAATCCCATCTCCATCCACATTTAGAAACGCCCACACTTGTATCTGGTGGTTAATGACATCTCCAGGTTTCAAGGTCCAATTTCAGCAAGTTCCTCCTTTTTTTTTCCTTAAATGTTTCTCGTGTAATAAGTGCTTCGAGGCGTGTCTGTGTGTGTGTGTGTGTTTTCTTTTTAAAAAATCAAGATCTGCTGACTCTCGACAATTTAATATCCTTACAGATTGTTCTCTCTTTGTGTTTCCATTTTAATCTGTTGTTAACCTAAGCTGTTTGTTTGGGTGGAGGTTTCAGAGACTGTGTCTGTGCGGATCTTTATTGATTTCTAGACCCGGACAGAAATATTAACAGCAATAATTATCGACGTCTTTTGCTTTGGTTTTTGGTCCCACTCCCAAGGCAGAGAGGCTGTCGTTGTTCTGATCCCTTTTGCCCTGATATTGGCAGCTGTTGCATTGCCATGTTACTGGCGCAGACTGTGCACGAACCCTGCTTTCGTGAGCAAAGGGAGAGGGGGTGTGGGGGTGTGGGGGGTTGGGAATGAGCGCAGGATCATCCTCTGGCTGTTTGCTTTGGGTCAATCTTTGATCACATTTCAAAGCGAACACACACACATACCTGCCAGAGCCACTGTCTGTGTCCACCAGACAAATTTGCACCAACTTTTCTTGCAGTCCATGGAAGGGAGAGGGGGTGGCAAGGGTTGGGGGACAAGTTTCTATGGATAAGTAATTCAATTAAACCAGTCAAAGGCACACATCTGAAATCAGTGTGCTTGACCGAGCAGGGGCAGTGCATAACTTTGTGTGCTTTGAAGCTTCCAACCATCCCCCCCCCCAACCACCACCACGACTTTTCCAAAGAACTTTAAAAATGCAACACATCCTGACTAATAAAGGATGATTTGAATTTTTCAAAGATCAGATCTGAATGAGACTAAGAATTCAAATGACATTTTCATTTTATTTCTGTCCTGTCTTAGGCAGGAAAGGCGCACAGGCTGAACCCCGAGGAAAGAGAGCAGTTCCTTCCCAACCTCCGAGCTGTTGGTTGGGTTGAAGTGGACGGGCGTGATGCAATTTATAAAGAATTCATCTTTAAAAACTTTAATCAGGTGAAACAAACAAGACTTGAGAATTAACAATGGATAAATAGTGATGTTTAAGTTAAAACTTCTATATGATAGTAATTCCATGTTTATTTTCTCATTTACTTTTACTCAAGGCTTTTGGTTTCATGACAAGAGTCGCTTTACAGGCCGAAAAAATGGACCATCACCCAGAATGGTTCAATGTTTATTCTAAGGTAAATCATGTGTTGGTATTTGTGTCTTTTTCCGAGTGAAAATATGCATATTCTGTTACTGCACTACAATATAGCGTATTTTGCCTTGGGAATGTCTCAAAGCACTTCACAGGATTTACTGAACAATGTAGTGACTAGTTTTTGTAGGCAAAGGTGTTCCTTTGTTCCCACTTCAAATAGCCTCAACTCAGAAAGCTACAATTCCAACAAATAACCTCTCTATAATAGCTATTTAGTGCCATCTCCAGTGCCCCTGGGTATTGCAGTTCTGCTTTCAGTGGCAGGACTAGCAAGGAGATGGTGCTGCTGGGTTAACACTAGTTTTCTTATTACTGGCCTCATCTCTGCCAATATCACCGTAGATTTGGTGAGAAATGAAAGTTGCCATTGCCGACTTATAAATGCTGACACAAGTGCATAGTTGTTTTCTGCTGTCAGGAATTTTTTCACACTGAAACATTATGGATATAAAGGAATTGTGTAAACTGTGTAGTAATCAGACAGCTGGAAAGATGATGCAGCATTAAGACCAAAGAAAATACATTTTCAAAACCAGATTCTCCCCCCACAAACCACCACCCCCAGTTCCCCTGAATCATACAACTTTGAAGTCTTCAAATGACCTGGAAGTACCATACCTGCAAATCACCACATTAGCTTCACAATCGGAGTTGAGTTTTGCTGAGTCATTCCTGATCCTGAGAACCATCTTTGTCCTTTCTATCACGTAGTTCTATCGGCTTCCAAACACATAAGTGCACCAACTCAACTGGGAATGTCATTAACTCTTTTCCATTTTCTTTTGCAGGTCCATATAACACTAAGTACACATGACTGTGGAGGGTTGTCAGAGCGAGATATTAACCTGGCTACCTTCATTGAAGAAGCTACAGTTTCTCAATAAAATTCAATGATAATCAGGAGACCAATGGCTTCAATTAACTATTTAATTTGTTCTTTCAAATGTGTTTCATTCCAATGTTTAAATTATATTGTGATGTTTTGAAAGTAAGCATTATATTTAAAATTTACCATGGATTATTCTAATCAAACAATATTAATCAAACCCTATTAATGTATATTTTTTGGGGGAAATGTGCCTTCTGTGAATAAAAATCAAAACTATATGGTTTCATTTTTGTCATATTTAATTGTCCATTGCAAGATTTTGGAGACAAAATATACAAATTGTTCAAATGTACCTAAAACTTTATCAGTTATTAGTGACTGAACATCTAGTAGCTCCAGTGCGCTGCTCATTAAGAAGCTCACAAGTTCCTGGTACCAGCCATCCACTTTGTGAGAGCTCAAACCTGCAGTTTTCAGATGTCAAATGAACAATCAGTGACAATTTTCCTGAGGGGAAGGGGAGCAAAAATTCTTCATCCACTCCCACTTCCTCTCTAATTCAAATCTATGTAAGACATTATTACTATTTTATACTGTGTAGATGAAGGGGAAGTAAATGTAAGCACAACTCCACAGGCCATGCACACCCACAGATGGAACTACTGAGTAAGAGTTGCAGTTTGCTCATTGACACTGAATTCAATATGCAAGAACACATAGGGCTTCAACAAATTAGATTTATTGCCAAATCTCAATTACAAACTTGTTAATACATAATCTCATGGTACATTTATTCAGCTCACTGTCAATTTTAAGTTTTTCAGAAGATACAGGGTTCAGTCAGGTCCAACAAATAATCCTCCATCTTGTGTGAAAAACTCCTATAAGTTAACAAGTTTCACAATACTCATAAGCCTGATCTTAAATTGTCTGGAGACATAGGATCCAATCAGTAGACTCACAATTGAAAAGGCTGACCCAATTTTCTAACCGCCTGGAGCCTTCCATGGTCTTAGAACCAAATTTAAATATCAAAATGGTACCACACACATTCGGAAATGGATAAGTTGTGCGACCTCTGATTATTAATGGCTTACAGTGAGTACACAGGAATGCGAGACAAGAGATCTCATTAAAACAAGGTGATGAGCTCTCATTCCTTAATAACACCAGTGCCATCGTATGTCCGAAACGAAGATCAACTGTCTTCCCTTTTGAAGTGAAAAATCACTTGATTACAGCATCTTATTAACCATGATTTAATAAGGAAATGGGAAGAAACAATGGATGTACTGATCTGTTGAATGGGCACACAAAGGATGTCTACACACAAAATATTTTATTATTAATTCCTACTGATGATAATGGAAGAAACATTGCCACTGTAGTCAGTTTCTCATTCAGACAATGGAAACCTGGAAGATTAATAATTGTCAAAGAATGTTCTGATCTGGAAGAAAACTTGTACTTACACATGATTCACTCTTATGTTCCCAAAACATCTGTATTGGGCATTTTTATTTACAGGAAAACGTTTTAAGTTATGGTTCTCATTGTTGTCATGATAATGAAATCAAATATTCTGCAGAACCTTTTTTTAAAATGCCTGTAAGATATTACCAGGACCGTACCAAAAACAGCTCCTCCAATTTATATAATAATAATCCTTGCATTTGATATAGCCCTTTTCACGTCTTCTAGACGTCTCAAAGCGCTTCACAGAATATTCTGTAAAGTGAATGGACCGTATATTTGTGGGCGAAACGCGGCAGCCAATTGCGCACAGCAGTGTCCCACAAACAGTCGTGGATTAAAAACGACCAATTTATTATTGTTTTGTTTTTGGAGGGATTATTATTAGGCGTGTGGAGTAAGGAAACTTGCCCAAGGTTTCGCCCTGCCTGGAATTGAACTCAGGTCTCTCGCTTGCAAAGCGAGTGCTCTAACCACTGAGCCTCAGGACTCCACTTATAGAACCTCAACCGTCATGTTTCTAGTTTAAAAACTATTTTAAGTTAGCTATCTCTGAACAACAAGTTTGTCCTGCAAGTCTTGTTTAGTACATCAACAAGACTGCACTTCCCTCAGTGGAACGTGAAACACATCACCACGCTATGGGCACAGTAAATCTGTACAGGTAATCCAACAACCATTTAGAAAAACATTTTACATTTTCTTTGCTCCAGAGAACATTAGGGATGGAGGGAGTGTGCGTGGGGGAGGGGAAGTAGAATAATTGGTAGCCAACAGAGATAGCTGTAATTCAACTGCTCTGACTAGTTCAGACATTTGTGCATATATTTAGCTTAAATTGTGACACAGCCATCATGCCACAGGCCAGTCTTGAGGCCAATTCAAGCAGATACAAATTCTAATTAGCACAACTTTGTTTTCTCAGGTTTGCTTTTCTGCAGGCAGCAGTTGATCATGACTACTAAATTAAGAAAAGAAATTGCAAAAGTCCTCCAGTGTTGATCACTAACCAACCAACACTGAGTAACAGGTGAATGTGCAATTAACCATGGAAAAGTACATCTGAAAATGGATGAAGACTAATATTACTATTATATGTACAGTGAATGTTGGACTGATTAACAAAAGCATTATGTTCAAAGATAAAGATTAATAAGAATCAGCAAGTCTAAAATACGTCTGAAGTACCGTTAATTCTCAGCACACTCATTTCTAAAACGTACACCAGTGCATGACAAAGTCTAGCAGTTGATACAGTACAAATAAAAAAAAACAGCTTTTCAAAACATCAATGCCCTTCCCACAAGATTTTACACCAATTACAGTCCTAGTCCAACTGGTCACACAAAATTACAGGCAACTGAAAAACAAATGCAATTCAAAAATCCTAGCACATAATCTAAAGTGATCCATCTTTTGAATTCAATATTAAAGAAGATACTTAGGCACAGATATGGATTTTTTTTTCATGAGTTGATGTATTTGTATCTTAAAAGAGCGATGTTGCTTTTAATTAAAATCACACTGACACTCACACCAACTAAGAGTCATATTTCTTTCCTTCACAATTGTAAAGTATGTTTAGGGTTAAACTGCCTCAGTAGCTTTCTGGATTCCATATGAAGCCAAGATCAGACACAGTATCAAACACAGTAAGCAACCTGATTGCAATTAACACTAGTTTTATGCAATCCTGTTAATCAAAAACGGACAACTAATGATTTGGGTTTCTTTCTACCCTCACTTTAGCCCCAACCCTCCAAATAGTCATTGTCCAATTATTTACTGTAATCATCTCTAGTTTCAACTTCAGAGCTTTTGTAATGCTTGANTTTTTTTCCATAATTCCAAAGTCGAGAGGGAGGCCAAGTGAGCAACCGGTTCACAGGCCTTTATCAATACCATTCAGACTGGCTGCAAGGAAGTGTGCTCATGTGATCCAACTACCCATTTTCCCTCGTACAAGCCTCTGCTTGGCACTTACCCTGAAAGCAAAGTTGAGATGGAAAACTTTCAACCCGCCACGAATAGGAAACCACATTGGAGCACCAACTTGCTGTTTCTCTTTGCTGCAAAGTTATCCCCAATTTTTGTTAGATAAATAGTCACAAATAGCAGCATTTGTTTTAACCTTGTGCAAAATCGCTCCTTCAAGAGATTTCCATCAAGACATTTTTAGAAGGCATTGAGGTGAATGCCATTGTCTTTTGCATCTTCCAATTTATCAGTGCATAAGTAAGCCAATGGTCACATTACTGGACTGCATTTTGAAATCATTCTAAATATTTCATGATTTTCAAAAATAATGGCAGAAAATAAGGATTTCAAACCAAGATATTATTTGGGGGCTTATAAGGGGAAAAAAGGAAAAAGCAAAGGCATTTGGGTTTTGAAAATGGTACAAATATCACAGAAGTGGTCCAACTAAATCTTGGATTGCATTTTCCCAGATTTGCATTGATTGTGCAAAATCAAACACTAGAAATCAATTCTCTTAACATCAGTTTTCAGATTACTTTCCCAATACAGTATTCAAATCAAGATTTTTGTTTGTTTCTAATGATGTGCTGATGCACCGTTCATGTGCTTTTTGTTTTCACCAGGAAGGTCTGTACAGTACAGACAGTCTAAGAATCCTTGTGATATCTCGGTCACCAAGGAACGATCTGGAATGGATTGCGCCATGCCATATATAGCCCCCTGGAAGCAGAAAAAAAATGTATATTAGCGCAGATCTCAAAGGCGACGTTTGCCTATAACCTGGGCCAATAGAAAAGTGCGGCCACAACGCTACAAATGCTTGACAAACACCCCGCCCGCTACAAACCTGTACACACAGTGTGCTAGGACCCAGGCCTCTTGCGCTGCTACTGTGGGTGGAGTTGCTCCAGTCGCGCAGGAACAGCGCAGGGAGTGTTGGGATCGCGGAAATCGGCTTCGCCCGGCCTAAACTGAGCTGCGACAAACTCTTGGTAAGTGCGTACTATTCAAATTAACAACCTTAGTATTTTAAACATAACTACATGTTCAGGAAATATATGCCTATAGTTTTAATCTGGGTTGTTTTACAAAATGCGTCTCTCAATAGCACCAATCAACCCTCCGCAATTTTCCACAAAACTTAAATTTCTCCGCAAAACTTTCTAAACGCTCCACAATTTGGGGCAAATATTTCTGCATTTTTCTATTGGCGCAGCATATAACCAAGTCATACTGCACACATACCTTGCCTGTAGTTTTCTCACTGGGGTTCTTCATTATTTCAGCTACACATTCTCGAACATCTTTTATAAAATTGTCAGCAATTCCTGGTTTTGTGTGCAAAAGTGTCACACATATGTGAATGCTGAAAGAACAAACAAAATTTCGACTACATTAATGCCCCTATTTATTTTGAAACAGATGAACTTTTGCTTGTTTGTTTTAGAATGCTAAGTTTAGAAGAATTGTAACTTAACTTGCGTTTTCTCCACTCTCCAAAAAAAATCTATGATATGCTTGCAAGAGTAATATGCTAATAAACTGGCATATTAAATTTCTGCACATTCATAAAATGATTTACAAAGACAACACTAGTGAGTGCTGGAAACAACTGATTGTAGACTGCTACTGCATGAAATTCTGATGTTAGCTTTGTGACAAACAGCAAACACATCTTTTCAATTCAGTCTCAGCAAATGTGGCAAATGCTGGTATATTCCTAGCAATGGTACTCCTTTTTGATTTCTTAGTGAACAGAGAATAACTGTACTCCAGAGATGAAAGAAAGCTTTAACAGAAGAAACTAATAGTGCTTTCGCCTTATTTTGTGCCCCCATGTCTAAACACAAAGCACCAGTAAGTTTAAGAACAATCGAAAAGTGTCAAAGGATGTATTTAGTATGGTAAATAGAGTGGAATTGCATGTTTTTTTTGTTGTTTTGGAATATTTTTGCAAATATGGGTGTATTGTGATATTTACAAGAATGCATACAGCAAATACAGGGCAACCCCGTCATAAGATGGTCACGTTTGTCCAATATCTCAGAGGCTGCATTCTAATAAGCGTAAAGCACTGGCCAACCTCTGATTTCACTTTGCGAATGTTGCATGCATCGACACTTCTCTCTGCCTAAGCTTTCCGTATACTGCATGAAACCTTTGTCTCCCACACTACCATTTAGGAAATAAAATCAGCATTCAGATCATTTTAGAATACAAATGAACCCAAGCCAAATGCAATATTACTATTCCTAGCTCATTTGGTAGAAACTTCAATATTATTTTGTTTCTGGCTACGAGTGTTTTCATGCTACATTAACTCTTAATCTTTATTTAAATAGTTAGAAATCCTGCAAATCTGGCTTGCAAGATGAAGTTAGGTCCAAAGAAGTTTGTGCTCTGCCTTGCACAATTCCAATTATGCAACTATGAAAAAGGCAGCATGTGTAGATTAAGGTTTTCAGTACATAATTCATCTTTTTAAAACAAGTTGAGTGCTGGTCAAAAGTATAAGGCCATTGAAAAAGACAAACTTGGATCACGTGTATGCAAATCACAGATATGATATAAATACTGCTGAAATTAATCCTACCTGGAAGGAAACTGCAATGTGTTCAGATTCCATCCTTTGGACGTCAGTGCATCTGACAAGCGTAAAATATCAAAGATTTTGGATCCAAGAGCAACTACTGACACTTGAGGCTTTCCAAAGACAAAGATTCCTTGCACCTTCTTCAACCTTAAAAGAACATAGCAAATTAGGTACTATAGTATTTAATAGACAGAACACCTTAAGGACTTTTGGGGGAGGCAGGATGTTTAAGATCAGAGAAGGTTCCTCTGATATGAAGGACCTGTGGCCACTGAACGCAATATAAAGACATTATGACAATAACATCCAGCTAATCATATATTCTGTGTTACAAGTAATCATAAGTCACATCACCCAATCAAAATAACATTTGCAAACGCTGCAAACACATAAGTCGGTAAATAGAAGCAATTGAAATATACACCTAAAAATTATTTCCTGTGCCAGGGGGACACACAGCAAATGGCATTAATAGAAGCAAACAAACATGAATGATGATTACCCATTACTGAATTTTGAAAGGGTAAAAAAGAAGTGAAGTTTGAGAATAAAATGAAAATGTTAACACTACTGAATAAAAGTGAAGCTTGTGCTCCCACTGCATTCCAATGGACTGCAAAAACGGGTGCCCTAATTTGCATTATGTGGTCTGCACATACCACTCAAATTAAATCAGTCTGATTATAAATGCTTATACACTACCTACATTGTTTTTGCTGCTATTTATAAACACATAATTAATTCAATCTCATGCTTTCCATACAGTGTTGTTGCATTTGTGAACTTATGCAAAAAAACATAAAAGGAAACAAACATTGGACAGAAGAAAGCTGCTCATATTCTGGGAAAAAGTTGCTCATAATCTGGAATCCTGAAACATTTCCTGATTTTCTGTCACACAAACAGTGGTTTCTATTCATGCACCCTGAGTCCCGGTTGCCAAAAAGTACCACTTGTGCTATCCATTGAGTAGATTACTCAAATGCCCTTCTGCTTGACAAGATATGAACCATCAGAACATTATTATTGTCTGCTTGTGAAACTCCAGTCCTTTTTTGTAAGAAAGAGAAATCGTAAATTTGTAAGAATTTTGGGGGAAGGCAGATTTATTTTGCAAAACAATCTGTGGCAATCATGAGATATTACCACAAGATGGAGCTAGAAGTAAAGGATAACTTTGGTGACTAACTGAAACAAACTGAGTGAGTACACATTGTCCCTTACTACAACCTAAATCAGATGAATGCATTGCTTCCGGCAGGAGTCACTGGTTTAATGTGAAATGAATGGAATATTAAAGTTTATTGCAAAGAACAATCTGTATCTCACAGACATAAGATCAACCACTCAACAAATAAAGCACTTAAGACTAAAAAAGTCCTCCAGTCATTATTGATGTTTTCAAATAAAACAGGATCCAGGCCACAGTGAGCTGACATATGGTTTCAATCCAGTCATATTACAATGTCCTCAAATAGCTATTAACTTCTACAATCAAAGTGCTCAATGCTTGGATTATTATTGTCAGGACAAACCAAATTGTATCTCATTTGTAATTTACATTGTAAACCGTATTTTACTCCTGCTGTTGAAAATATCAAGAAATTATTAGCGGACCAGAACATAAAAGACATTAAAGACTTCTTATCACTTTATTCCCAGGAGGAGGCAGATAAATGCAGTTCAGAACAGTCGGCTCCAAAACGTCTGCTATTTTGCCGCCAATGTTTGCCCACAGGGAAAGTGTCTGCCGCAGCAAATTCCACATCTGCTAAAATTCATTCTCTGTTCAGCTTCATCATTCAATCTGTGGCATACATGGTTGGTGATGCAACATTACCAATACACTGACATATTCTCCTCAGTTTCTCAGCATGGCCACATGTCCTGGAAAATAATTTATCAAACCACAATGCCCCTTTGTCATTTCTTATTCAATTCGTAATCTGTTTAGCACTAAACAAAACTGGTTGCTAGGAATTCAGAGTAAAACATTCAGGGTTATATAAATTCTTAAACAGTACACTTAATTGTAGTGGAGTACATCCTTTTATATTATTTGTAAGTCATTTATATGCAGGGAAAATGTAAAAATAATAAATGCTGCCATATGCAGACTATGTAATTAGATCCAGAAATATGACCATCAACCTCATTATCGTGGAAAAATATATATCAATTAGTTGCGATAGGAATCAAAACAATGATTTCAGATGGATTCAAATTGAGTTCTTACACAAAGCAAATATATTTTTCTCCCCTTTCTCTCTAAAGCCATTTGATTTCTGTCTCCTTTTCCAGAACGTAAGTAAGCCAAGAACAATACTTTCAGATGCACCAAAACAGAAGAACAAGAGGACACAAGTTTAGGGTTGCTAGAGGCAATTAACAGGATATATTTCTTTGCTCAGAGGGTAATGATTGGACCGGGTTACCAGAAGGTTGGTTGAGGCCAGAGCAATGGACATTTAAAAAGACAGTTCAATGCTATGATGAGAAGACAGCATTTTGAAAAGATAAAATAAAGAGGGCTGAAAGGACTTCTTCATCTGAACCAACATAATGATGAGAGTTTGTTCCATGTGTACAGTACCCTCTGGTACCTAGCTCAATAGGCCATTATTTATGTTGAGCCTCAAGTGTCAGCAGAATATTGGTTCATGGGGTGCATCACAGCTAAGACAATTCTGTTCAAACTCAACATTCTCACAAACACTCATTTCAGTAGTGATCTCTGGTTCCCAATCAAGAGTGGATGCATCTCAGTACATTTAAAATACGAGGAGAAGAAATAAAACAACAGATCCTTTGAAATTCTTCACAGAGAACTGAGGGGGGGGGGGGGGGGGGGGGGGTGATGGAAATCAATATATGAGCAGTTTATAAAACAAGTTGAATGCTGGGTTACATCCTTCAAATATATGCCCATGGATTACTTTATTTTAGTGATATACTGTTGTTTAAAAATTATCCTGGACTAAACTGAAAATATTTCAACGCTACAATGTGGTGTCTCAACACACTGTGCTAATGATTGGGAAGATGTCAATCCAGATTAGAAATTTGCCACAAGTGAAAGCCAAGAATTCATTTTGGTCAAACAGGTCACCGTAGTCTGTTATTTTTACAGTTCCTTCGTGGCACAGGATGACCAAGAGAGAAAATACAACATTTGTTCAAGTATCAAATTTAGTTGAAGACCTAAGTATTGAGCAACGCACTGGAGGAAGTGAGTCAGTGTCACACTGTGCAAAGCAGACGTTTGGTGCTTGCTGTATTGTGACATAAAAACAGAAATGCTTAGATTGCATGTGACTCATAAGAGTTATGTACTTCATGCACAGCTAAACCATGACATAACAATTCTTTTACACAACATCACAAGATACTTCTTTGAGCAGGATTTGATAACCAACAAGCTCAATTAATAAGCCTTTTTTGAAAAAAAAGGTTTCGAATCTCACACTCCATTAACACTGCATTGAGTAAAGCTACTTCACTTCCAGCGATGGTGCTGGAGAGAGGTAAATTCAATTCATATTCTCCTGGTTTATAGTTCTACAAAGTGGAGTCATCAACAAAAGCCTGATTTCAGTATTTTGTGGATTCACACCTTGCCACACAGGAATAGGAGTAGGCCATTCAGTCTTTCGACCTGTTCCACCATTCCATAAGATCATGGCTGATCTGTACCTCAACTCCAATTACCTGCCCTTGCTCCATATCTCTTGATACCTTTACCCAACAAATATCTATCCACCTAAGTCTTGAAAATTTGAATGGATCCAGGATCCACAGCCTTTGGGGAGAGAGTTCCAGATTTCCACTCCTCTTTGGGTGAAAAACTGCCTCTTGATTTCACTCCCAAATGGCTTCTAATGTTAAGATTATACCCCCTTGTTGTGGATTCACAACCAGAGGAAATAGTTTCTCTGTATCTACCCTATCAAATTCCTTTATTATTTTAAAAACCTCAATTAGATCACCCCTCAAACTTCTAAACTCAAGGGACTAGAGACCATGTTTATGCAACCGTCCTCATAATTTAACCCTCATGCACAAACACCATGTTATCAACAAGCTGGTCATACGTTTGTCATGTTAAGATTCCAAATCACTTACAAAGATCATGGATAATCCATTGGATTTGCTGAGATCTCTGAATGAAACACAGGCAGTGAGCCCAGTGTGGGGACCCACTGTGTTTGTAATCAGTACAATTCACTCTACCTGAGGCCCGTTTATACTGCATGGTTGACTTTTGAGTCTTTGACAAAATTGCAGATATACTGCCAAATGTCAGGACCAAGCAGCATAACAGAGGCTCAGTGAGCCACACAGACCAGGTGACTGAAGGTTTGATCCCAGATTTGTGTTTACTCATCTCAGCTAGGACAGCAGAGGGCATTTACTTGACGTCAACAGCTGCGTGCCAAGAAGGGGAAGCAACAGTAATCAGGATAGCCACTTCACCTAGCTATCAGTCACTCCTGAAAGTGCATGAGTGGAAGTTGGCTGAGACCCAGATTAACCTCAGCTATGATACAAACACCCTACAGGTCAAAGGCAAACACTCACTGCCAAGTCATACACATAAAGATCAGCCAGATAAGCAAATAAACAAGAAAGCTGTACGAGGACTAGTTTCTACAGATCACATTCTAACATGAACCTCCAGCACAGGAAAGCAGAGGAAAGTGGAGAAAATCCAATGGAAAATCAGAGAAAAATGGACCGCATGACTTCCAAAAAGAGTAAATCAATGATCCTTGTAATAAACGAATAAACTAAATACATACATTTAAACAGTAGTCGGTTCCATAATCAAAATTAGCAAATGAATGCTATTGCCTATTCAGTCTGTCTCTGATCACTGCTCTCAGCAAGTGTGTTTATGGCTCAGTGCTAATGTCCTTCATCTGTTACTGCAAGTGCTTTTTATCAAAACCACAGCCAAACCACACTGAGACAGGCCTGGACAAACATTACTATGATTTTTTTTCCCCCACTAGTTCCGCATAAACAAGCCATTTAAAACTATGAGACTTTGCAACCTACAATTTCTCGATTCATTCAGTAATCTCTGCTAATCCATTGCTTAAGAGAATTTTTCTTGGCAGAGGTTGGAAACATTCAACAAAAGCTTGTTTGCAGTCTTTCTCATGCATTTCACAGCAAGCAGAAGGAAAATGCTGCTGGAAGAGAAATACCACCAGTCTTTGAGGCAAAGCCCAGTCCCAGAGCAGGATCATTAAAGTAAATTTTAACCTCATATCCAGAATTCCTTAACTAAAGTGGGAAAAATACACTATTTAAACACATATGGCCATCCCCGTGTATCATGATTCCTGCAGCCATTAATTACATCTCATGAAAAGTTTACAAGGACTGCTTGCTGGGGCAGTTAAGTTCTGGGCTGCACTGCGCCATTCCACTTTAATTTGGGGCAACAGAAATCTAAGGAATGCCAACATCCAAATGCATGGAATAAACAACTGAAGAATTCGATTTTTTTTAAAAAACACAGAAACTCTAACCATTTTATTGGAGGAATGCCAGAGGCTACAAAATGGTCGCCAATATTTGTGTATGAACTGTTCCTTTAAAGAGACTGCACCAAAACAGAAAACATTTCTAAACTGAAATTTCAAGAGGTTTGCCATTAAAGCTTGTGGGCAGAAGAGGTGGCAAATAAAGTTTTGTAATGAACTGGCAGAAAAGGTTGTAGGTTATTTCGTGTTGATGAACTTTGAACTACATTTGTTGACACAATAGGATTTACAAGCAGTAGGTGGGGTTGGGTGTGGATTGATTGTCACACCAAGTTGTTTAGGCACAATCTAGCCAATGGAATATATACATAGAGTATATATTGAGTAAGCAATCATCCAAGTCCAATGAACCATTTGGGTTGATGTAATGTCTCAGTTTGGATTGATGCTACCTCATACTATTTGTAGATCTTTTCCCTTGGTATCTGATGCAGTCAGCAAATGGGAATATTCCTCAGTTATGAGCTGGTTAAACATGGTGCACCTGACTTGCAAGACAAGGAGCTGTATACACTGGCGCAACTTGCATAAGGACAACATTGCCCCAGGGGGCCCAATTCCTTTATAATCTTAGTTCTCGAGAAAATATTTTTAAAAAATAGGATTTAAAAAAGATTTTAAAAAATTATATAGATCTTGATTTTTCCTCAACACAAAATGAATAACAATTGTTATGCATCTCCCAAGGGAGATTAAAGAGCCGCAAGACTGGATGTGCCTGCCTGCTGCCAACCCTTTATTGGGACAAAAGGTGAAAAGAATCAGAACCCAAAGAAGGGCTTATTTCACTTTAAATAAAGTGAAAAAATACCAATAAACCAAGCCAATATAATCACATAGTTTTCAGAGGTTCTAAAGTAGTACATAAATAACTTAAAAAATAAAAATCACAATACTTGTATTTCATATAACATCCTATCAGATCAGTGAAATGTCCCAAAATGTGGTCACTCAATCCAGGACTGTTTGTGGGACACTGCTGCATGCAATCGGCTGCTGCGTTTCGCCCACAAAATGTAGAATCAATTCACTTTACAGTATATTCTGTGAGGCGCTTTGAGATGTCTAGAAGATGTGATAAGGCGCAATATCAAATGCAAGGATTATTATTATTAATAACTGATAAATCAGAATGTAGCTGATAAAAAAGTGAAGAGGAGCCAGGTTTCATTTTAAACGTGGGTAAGCCAATGGAACCCAATCTTTACTCTCGCATTCCTGGATATATTGTTACTCAAGGAGATGTGTGAGGCCAATACCATTCTGTTAAAGTATCTGGCCTGGAAAGGAGCAACACCAGTTAACATGAGGAACCACCACCCAGACACTGATATTTTTTAAATAAATCTCTTTAGGCTTGATCCATTACTAACCTTTTATAAAATTAACAACACCATATTCTTAAATTTGAATACTTGTAAAGCCAAGAAGCAGAACAGGTGCATAATTTACAAAATAACTAGTATTTGCATGGTACTTTTCATGTAAAAGAACATCTCAAAAGTGCTCACATTTCACTGTTTCCACCCCACCCCCATCCTTAGCCGCTCTGTAAAAAAAAGTTAAATGTATCAAATTTTAAATGGAACACCAAAGATAATTTGTTGCAAGATCAGATATACATACTGTGCTTCTATGTGTCTTGTAGTTTTAATTATCTTCTTAGTCGTCTGAACATAACCATTCTCTCCCATGTGCATCATAGTTGCCCAGCAAGCTGCAATGATCCCACCAGGTCGGGAACCAGCAATTGTGGGCGATGCATAGATACCTCCTTGCCAGTCTGGGGCAACAAAGAATTGGTAGCGACGGTATTTCTTTTCACTGTATAGTATAACAGAGGAACCTTTGGGTGCAAATCCATACTGGAGGAAAAGAGGACACGATTTAGAAATAATCTTAACAATTTAAATAACTTAGCTTGAAACGTGGAATGGTCTTACTTTCAAACCCCATCGCCCCCCATTCGTACAAAGTTTTAGGAGATAATTTGTTACCTATATTCATTCAATCATTGGGAGTGTTCATCTAGGAAGAAACTGTAACTCAGCATTTCACAGGCTTCACCTACCTTGTGCGTATCTGCAGAAATGCTCGTCACTCCCTCAATACGAAAGTCAAAGAGTGGCAAGTGGAAACCAGCCTTCTCCATAAAAACAATGAGGAATCCTCCCAGGCAGGCATCAACATGCAAGGGGATTTTGTATTTCACAGCCAGCTGTACAGAAAGAAAAGATTTTAAAAAATCATAAATTTCCATGGAAAATTCAAAACATACCTGGGAAAAAAAGAGCCATTCTCAACAGATTAATAAAACCAACAGCAATAAAGCTGAATTAATTGTTCCATTCATCAAAAGTGCTGATGATAGTATGATTTCTGTTATGTATGGTTATTTTCTCCACACATTTTGTGTGTTACAGACATGCATCATTGACAGCATTGCAACATAATGAGGCAGCAGGTTTTCTCCCCGCCTCGAGACATCAGCATCCATCTGCTTCTGTATAAATAAAGCATTAGTAACAGCTCAAAGACACATTATCCCTGATGTCATCAACAATCACTCTTCCACTCAGAAAAAGTGGATTATAGTTATTTTGAAATTTAAGTTATTCATAGTCGCAAAGTGAAGCTACATCTTTTAATGTTTGAAGCAATTCAAAAGCAATGGTAACATACCTGGAGTATTTTAATTATTGTTATGAATAACATTTCTCATATTGTTAATTAGTTATTATATGCAAAAACTATGTCAGGAAAATTGGGAGAAAACTGATATTGGATATAATACAACTATAATGTACCTTCGCAACATCTTCTACTGGGTCCATAACTCCATGAGGAAACTGTGGCACCGAGCAGACAAGCATGACCGTATTTTTTGAAATGGCTCTCTTCATTGCCTGAACAGAGAAACAGTCAAGTGACATTCAAAAATCTTGCAGTAATAATACTTGCACTTAGTTTTGCGCCTTATCACGACAGAAGGACATCTCAAAGTGGTTCACAGGATTTACTGTGAAATGGAGTGATTGTATATTTGTAGGTAAATGCAGCAGCACAATTGCGCACAGCAATATCCCACAAACAGCCATGAAATGGGGACCAATTTTATTTGGGGAATTCTTGCCAGGGGGCCAGGAATCACTCTTTTCTTTTTTGAATAGGGCCAAGCGATTTTTAACATCCATGTGAACAGGCAGGTGGGAACTCGGTTTAACATCTCATCTGAAGGACGGCACCTCCGGCAATGGAACACATCCCTAGTACTGCATTGGAGTATCAGCTTAGACAATACGAGTTGAAGTTCCCAATATGATTGCATTAATTCAACTGTGAATATCTTGAAGGTTATGCAACATTATGGAAAACTAAATTGTAAAAAATAAAACTTCGGAAGGCTACTTGATCTCAAGGCACAAAACTGCACAAATACTCATCAGTATCTTATGATTGATGATAAATCCACACAGCACTACATTTTTCCTGTTTTCTTCAGTACAGTTGTTCAAAATCTGAAGCAGAATTTGCTTCACGAAAGTGACACATAATGTCAGTCAGAGCTGGTTCTATGCATTACTTGTGCATGATAACAGTAAATACCATTACAAATCAGCATGTAGATACTAAATAATAGCAATTTACGTAAATAGGTTTTGCAAGTATGGGTGGGTTAATACAAGAACTGCACTAAAGGATGTTGTATTTATGCAGTTCTGGTTTATATCTCATGAAAGATTTCATTATCTGAAACTGTAATGTTTGTTTATTTTCACAAACATTACAGTATCACCTCCTTGAAAATAATTGCAAATATTTGTCCATAAATTAGTAGCAAGTTACTCTGTTGCAGGATTAAACAAATAAATTGGAAACAAACTTTGGACAATCTTCATCACACTGCGTAATAATTAGAATGCAAATATATATGACTAATTGTTGATTTTATGCCTAAATGTTATCGAATTGTAAACTGTATTCAACTGTTTATTTAGCAATGAAAGGGTTTGCTTTAGGCTTTCACATGCATGCTTTGCAAACATTCAACTATAATTTAGATACATTTGTCTTTAATAATAAGTATATAAGTTGTGACAGACTGTCTTAGTTGAGACCATATATACTGCAAAGTACATATTCAATAGGTATATAGCAATCTTAACAAATTGAATGAACAAATCTAAACTATGCATCCACATCAATGTTAGTTTGGGTTGATATTTTGAACCTAGAAAAAAATGTCTTCATAACCAGCTATCTGTTGTAGAATACATGCTCAGTTCTTTTTTCCTGCTTGTTATCTCTATTTTGGCGACAAATAGATCATAAAATGATTAAATAAATTGAGAGCCCGACCACTGTATTATATAAATAGTCAACAATAAAGAGAATAATGAAATGGCCTAATATAAGATTTCATGATGGAGGCAATTCTATTTAAGAGGAACATAAACCAAATAACTGACTTTGTGCAGCCACATTTTGTGAGGTCCATAGACATGAATAAACAGTTGTAAAGTGAATTACAACTGAGCAGTGATGAATAAGGTGTGTGCTTATCATAGCATTTTGAAAATCATTCACTGTGGAAATGAAATCCTCTGATATGCACACACAGATTCAAAGTCATATCAAGCTTTGTTTAAATTACATGTTTAAATAGAAGCATTCAATATCTCAATTAAAAGTTCAAATTGGATGGTGTCAAAGAATATACTCTGCTGGAATTGTGTCTTCCAACATACAAACTGTTAGGATTATCGATTTCCAATGAAACATATCACTCCAACAGCTGCTAACATTAGACTCCTGGAATAGACCAAGTCCCGAATCAATCAACTCATGGGATGACAGAAGAGGAAGAATGAAGTAAAAATTCCTGAAAAGCAGCTTATTCAATCGACTTCTGTTTGTTCTGGAAATTTTACCTGGTTAGGGAAGCGTATTTTACTTGCGCTTGGTCAGGTTTTTGAAAGATTAATAACGGATTGGAAGTTTAGTTCCTCCAATGCTCATACCCACATGACACCTTTGCATAGGCAATGCTGCCCTGCACTTGACCAGAGATGAAAGACTTAAAAAAAGTCATCCAGCAAAGGACAATATTGAGCCTGCAAAATCTAAAGACACCTAAGATCTCAATGACAAACCTTAATTTTAAAAAATAGTTTCAGACTTCCCAAATAGCCAGGGAGTATATTCAGTGAGCAACAAAGAACTGTTTTAGGTCTGATACTCAGTCTATCCTGGCAAAGCTGAATTCATCCAAAGTGCAATAAGGGGCACAATCAGGCTCAGCTTCTCTGGTTGGGAGAAGAAAATCAGGCAGCATTCTCATTCTTGGTCAGAATCCAGTTACTTATTAGAGATGAGAGGGTGTAGATGCCTGATAAAGACTGGATCAGGTTTCTCCATATCACCAGCAGTTTAATTGCTTGCCAACACTAATTCTCAAAGTTCACACAATTGTCAATAGTATCTTGGAAGGAGCACACAGTGACTGACACCCTGAAATTGTGATACAATGAAAGGAAAAATGGAACAAAAATTGGCAGGAGACAAAACAAAACAAACCTCTTGAAAGAAGACACTGTTGAATTAACATACCTTTACATCTACTTCCATTGTTTTGTTCAAGGGAATGTGTACCATCTTCATTCCAAAATAATGAGCAGCCTTGTCAAAAGCAGCATGAGCACTTACTGGGGCAATTCTAGACAAAAGTATGATTGATGGATTTAACATCATAAAACAATGGATTATTTTAAAGCATACACAAGGTAGCAACACAATTCATTGAGTGAGGTACTTTCGATAGAGTGGTTCATATCTCCAACAATGCCTTGTTGCACAACTTTTCAATTAATGCAAAACAAATCACACGGCAACTGTAACAACTTCAAGCACTTAAGGTTTTGTTCATAAACAAACCGCTTTCAGCTGGAGTGGTTCTGTGACACACTGGCCTCCTGATGTAAAATCCATTCAGTTTTTAAAACATAGTGAAGGTTCCATCCTGTGCAACAGAGAACTGGATATGCACAAACTCATGCTGATGCAGTTATTCGTAAGTTGTGTTTCCAATTTTTTCTAGCCACGATACATGATTTGTGTCAGTGATTTGCTGTTTAATTAATATTACAACCATGTTTTCAGCATAAACTAGATAAATTCCCAGCAGATAACTACATAAATATCTAAAAAGCAATAAACTGCAGGAATATGGGGAAAGAGCAGGCTTAGAAGATTTGGGAGTTGAGTTGACAAATGGTAAATGTTATATCATGTGGACAATACAAAGTGGTAAGAAGAAAATTAAGCAGCAGGAACATAACCAAACGGTATTAAACTGCATAATATAATTTAGGAGAGGGTACAATTTAACAGATCACTAAAATTATCAGCGCAGAGTGTCGGAGCAGTGAAGAGGCTAATTGATTCTAGGGACATACAGCTAAAGGAATAGAATGCATGTCACAGGAATTATATTACTCCTCAACAGAATACAATTTTAGTGTAATGTGTGCAATTCTGATTGCCATGATAATTTGGGTCACCTTAACATTGGACAAGCAAGAGCAAATTAACAGCTAGAATTCGAGCTGAGTTGAGGAGAGGTTACATAGATGGGAATGTTCACACTGAAGAAGAGTAGGCTCAGTGCAATCTTACTTATAATTGGTACAAATAAATTGAACCCTAAAGTGTTAGTTACAAGCTTTAGAATACTGGGGTCACAGACTCAATCTCCAAAGAGGAAATGTGAACAAACTGTTTAAATTAAATTGCACACAAAAGGCAATTAATATGTGCAACAGACTACTCAGGGGGCATAACCACTGTCGAAGAGGTAGTTTTTAAATCCAGAACTTGGATGACAGATAGAGAGGTAAGATAAAAGGATTGAGGGAAAAGTTCCAGAGGTTAGCGCAAATAGGATAGTGAAGGAAACAAAATTGTTTCAAAAACGTGAAGCAAAACATTTAGTACTAAATGGAAAGAAAATAATTGTACACATTCAAAGGTAGAAAACCCAATTTGTGCAGTTTTTTTATTATTTGTAGATCCTTACATTTCTGGGTACTGGATTCCTCTTTCAGCTGCTAGATCTCTGTAAGCTTTGCAAGCCATCAGAATGCTCTCTGTACCACCAGATGTCACCTGCAAAAGCAAAACTTATTCAGTGCTGACATTCCATTCTCCTGTGCACAGCTTGCCCCATTTACAGTGTTTGTCATCCTACAGTAAAAATCATGAACCCTGTACCTTGCTAGGTAAGCAACTATTTAGTTTTCTATAGTCTGAGATAACAAGACATTTTACTATATTTTACTATCTTTTGGCAGACTAAGCAAAACGATTTGTTACTACAATAGATAAACTAAGGATTTCAAGTTACCTACCTGTGTGACTTGTACAACAGTGACCAAAGGGCATCATCATTTATGTTATTATGCAGTGATTCTCAGATACTTGGATCGCAGCATGGAGATAGGTTGGGGCAGAGCCCACCTGCCACAAGGTCAACTGATTCACACAAAAAGAACATACCCAGAACCACAATTTGGTGCCATAACTGACACAAATTCAAAAATAAATGGCCAGTTAAAAGGGCGCTCCCTTTAAAGAGAGAGAGATGCTCAGCAGTTTGGGGACTTGATATGCCATTGAGATATACCCAGTTTATTGTGAGCTGTAACAAAGTTAATCCATTTAGAAGCACTGGACATCGGTTCTGCAACCACAGGAGAGTGAAGCATGGTTATAGAAAGGGTCTCCTCCTATACCTTTCCCAGCTGGTCTCTGCCTATCAAAACATTCAATCCAAAAATCCATGCTAACTGGTTTGACCCAATATTGCTTATCGTGGTAGAATGCTCATTAATTAATTCATTCTAAATACTTCCCGTTATTCACGACTTGTTAGAAAGAATATAAAAAGGCACTTCTAGACCTTTCGCCTATTAAGCAATGTTAAAGTTGTGAAGGTAGATGAAAACAAGAATGACATGAAATATTCAGACATTACAAATTAATTCACCTGTGAGGGACTTCATTTGAATCAAACATAGATACTATTGAGTGTATGCTCTATAAAACATTATATCTGCCATTTTTACTGCCTCACAGACCAACATGTATTACCAGCTTGAAAGAAACCTGAGAATTTCCTGTTCATGTCCGCAGACCAGCAATGATGGTCTTTGTTAATTCAGTCATAGTGAACAAGATGATGTACAATTACATGAACATTGTAGGATGAAGTGAGGGCCAGCATTTTGCCAGATAAAAACCAAAGGTAAAACATAATGAATAGATCATCTGTCAAAACAAATAGTAACTGTAGACTCGGATTACAGAAGGAAATATACCTTCATGAATAATATAATCAGTTTCATCTTCCTACCACCTGGAGCACACTAAGTTCACTCAAAAGTATAATGAATAAAAATGCTCAATACAAATACTCCAGATTTATTTGATCTGAACAAACTTTATCTATGTGAACGTAAATACAACTATTAAAGGGCTCATCATACCACGGCAGTAACTGAAATAGAATCTCTGCACCAGAATATAGCAATAACACTATAGTTTGTATAATGCAAATAAACAATTTTGGGTAGCTTCAACATTTGACTGAGCTGGGACCGAAATAATTACTTTTGTCTGACAATGGTCACAACTGGCCAAAAATGCTAAATTTCTCCATTCGCAACAAAAGTTGCTTTACAGTGGCTCTTAGCAATTCTTATCCGTTGGCAATACTTAATCAATGGTCACTCCAGATTTTACTAAATTGGCATTGAAAAATGAATAAATTGTATTTTGTCTTCAAGTAGTTACCATTTTGCAATCTTTTAAGCCAAATATCTTCACATGATTGACATTTTTCTCGGAACTGGGACTGAAAATGTTTGTTTTTGTGAAAAGACAAAGTCAACAATGAATGAGATAGATCAGATTTTAACTGGTACTGTTTTAACAACATGCCGTTCTGAGTGCTGAAACTAACACCGTCATACAACAAAGATGCATTCTTTTTCTTTTCATTCATTTTGTCACATTTCACACACTCATAGTAAACACCATCCAAGTAAACACAAATTTCTGTTTTAAAATAAATGTTCAAATAGTCTGAAACAACTTCTGAGCTAAAGTATTCAGTTGTTTTCAAAACAATAATTTATTACACTACCAGGGCCCAAATCTTAATGTAAAGGGCAAGAATCGGTTCGTATTATAAAAATCAATGCTCTGAGATAGCCAACCATTTTATAATGCTTTGATATTCAACCAATGTTGATTCCAGTAATAATTATCCTTGAAGTGTTTGAAATGCCTAAAAGTGCTTCAGAGTTTTCTGTAAAATGTAGTGATCGTGTATTTGTAAGAAAATGCGGAAGCCAATTTGCAATCAGCAATTTCCCACAAACAGCGATAAAATAACCTTTTTTTTAATCTGTGGATTGTTGGTACCAGGAAAAAAAAACTTCTCTTGTGTCATGGGTTCTTTAACATCTGCCTAAGCGGGTAGATATAAACTCAGTTTAAGGTCTCATCCAAAGGATATCTACATCAATGCAGAACTCCCTGCATTGAAGTATCATCTTAGATGACTAGTTTAGTCTATAGTCGGGTTTTTTAATCTGAGAGGCAAGAGCCAACTGAGCCAGAGTGACCTGACACCTTTGCCTGAGGTCATGTAAAGCCTTTTATCCTGCAGGTACCAACATTTATGACATTGTTTTCATATTTAACCAACACCAAATATGCAATATAAATCAGGTTCAAAATGCATGCCCATTCTGAGCTCAGATTAGCATCTATCAAAGAGTTAGTAACATTCCCACCTTTAACATTAATCAGCATTGGTTAACAGAGCGCTGTACACGCTCTTAGTTGGATGTAAACTGCTAAATTAATGAAACCACACTTGTTTCTACTGTAAAGTTGCATTTGCATTGAAATCTAAATTGTTACACCTGCTGTAGGTGCTCCTTTTGCATCATCTCTGCTTGCATTTATTCTGCAAGTGCAGAATAGATCCTGCAAGTGCAGAATAAATTATTTCAAAGGACAGTTATTCATTTTGCAACATCAACAGCTTATTTGCTTATGCGTCTGGTTCTTATATGCAGAGTTCTCAATAGCCCCCAGCTGGAACGATCTTGGAGCAGGAAATATTAATGCTGCTTCCTGCTCCTTATCAATCTACAACTGAAAATAATGATGAGTCATTTCAGCAGCACAAAAGAGGCATCAGTCAGCTTTCAGCAACAGTTTCTTACCTAATTCATGGGCTCACACAGGGAGCTCAATCAGCAACAGGCCTTAATACTCACAGCATGCTCGCTTGGAATATTCTGAAGCCTCTATGTTGTTGAAAGTCTCTGAGTCTAATGGTGTGAAGAAGCTAAATTAACATTGCAAGTTAAAAGTAAAATAACTCAGGACAATAACCATCTCTATGGTGTTCTCCTCAGCAATATAATGCTGCATAAACCTGGCACAGCTTGATTATTCATTGTCAGCCACATGCAACCTGTAAAATCTGAGGTTCTGGAAATTCTGATGAAGTACTGTATTCATATACAAATTCAACATAACATTTCCACTCATTAAAAATATATTCCAGGGACCCGTTCATAATTACTTTATTAAACATTAAGCCACAGAATATTCTGCTATACTAACATCAAAATGTAATCCTACAGGATTTAAAAACAGATTTCTATACCTTGGCACAAGCAATAGTAGATTGGCCAGGCAGTTTTACTTTTTGTGCATTGTGATCTGATATAATAATGAATAAATAGCCAAATTCCAAAGCAAAATCTCATCTGAACAATTTTCTATGAAGCAATTGCTTCTGCACAAGTATATTTGACCTGATTTGCCTGGAGGCCAACTTAGGGTTGGTTTGTGCATCAAGCAGATAGAAATCAACACAAAGATCATCAGCTGAATCGAGATAACTATGTAAAGATAACAAACCAAGTCGAGTTACTTTTTGTATATATTACAGTCTTCAGGCGGCCTCAATTCATGCAACAACCAGACTGAAAATAGTTGTTGATGTGCTACTATTGTGGCTACAGCAAAAAGTTAACATTAGGGCACAAATATTGCAACACAGGGATTTTTTTGCTCATAAACAATAATTAGCAGCAGAAAAACATGGATGGAATGGCACCATGAACCATTCTTGTGCCCTTGGTTTTAACACATGGTAATCAATTTTAAGCTTCCAAAGTTTGATGACACAACCCATTAATAAGGTTGAAATACAACTGCTTAAAGGGAAATCACAATAATGCAAAGGAGTAACAGCAAATTTCAGTAACTCATTCTAAGCTTAAACCTATTTTAGTCTAGACTGGCCAAAACTAAGAACCTTTTTACAGCATTTTGACAGCATCTTGTCACATCAAAAAATATTATACCTCACGGTAATTACAGTCACGAGAACTGAGTGTTTTTATGAGTAAAAGCACCCAAAGATTGAGATGAAATGTGAAAACAAAGTCACAGAAAATATTTCTAAAATTCCTGGACGTTGTTTTAAAGCTAAGAACATGATCTTCTGTTGAAAATAACAGGTTCAATTTCCTTCCCTATTATTAAATTTTGATATTCCTCAGGCAAAGAGATATGCATTTCCTTATTTGAACAGATGATAGTTATTAATACTGACGGCTTTCCAACACTGGTGTCCTTCAGTGACCTTATGCCTTGCCTTGCAGCAAGAATGCGAAAGGAGGAATAAAAGCTCATCACCTCCCCAAGGACAGCCTGCTGCAAATACCAATTTTAGATAATAGCACCAGTACAGCTCAAATGAATTCTGCCTCAAAGATAAACAACTCAGCTGCAATGCACAGTAAGGAGGGGAAAAACATGTGAAAGTGAATCACATTGACAAACCCAAAGTTCACACTCCAAGAACTGCTGCCCAAGAGCAAACAGTAAATGCACACAAAACAACTCCTACAATCCTATCTTAATCGTCCAATCACCATATGCCTTTTTCTAGTTTTGAAGCATATGAAGAGTAGTTCCTTCATCTTGAACGCTTCCCTATCACTGATTTACAGAGGTGTATGCCTCCTGCAACTGAGAAGATAGGAAATCTGTTCTTAAGGCTTTTGCAATGCTGTTCTTTAACAATTAGTTTGAAAGAGAGCATGGTATATTAAAGTTGACTTTATTTCTCTTTCCTTGGTTGTCTCCTACAATAGGAAAGCTGAGAAACACTCGGCCACATGGAAAAATCCAGCCTGCATCCCCACTCCCATAGCACAACAAAGTGGTCACTGCTTGTCTGAGCTGTATGGGATGATTGTATTTCTCACAGTAACTGTATAAATACTCCAATGTTTTGGACAACTATTCTTTTGAGTGTAGCTGACGAGACCAATCTACCTTTGGCACTGAATGAATTGTCTCATTCACCTGAATTTCTTAGAAAGAAACAGAATAGAAGTGGAAGCATAACCTTACAAAACTAAATAGTCATACTTAAAAAGCAATAACATTTCATGCGACCGGGCATCTTTAGTGCTTCACTCTAACTACTTCAAAGTCATAAAGTATTGTGCTTGTACTATTATTTTCCCCAGCCCAATAAATGTGGAATCTTTTTAGGTTTGGATAGTGAAAGCAGAGCAAAATGAAAGGTAGCTGAAAGCATGATCAAAAACATCCATCTTAAGGTGGGCTTTGAAGAAGTGGTGGGAGGGACAAGACGGAGTGACTCTGGGTAGAATTTTAGAGAATGGGGGCAGAATGGCTGTAAGCTTGATCACTTGAAGCAAGTACAGATAGGCTAGGGGACAAGATTCAGGCTGGGGCAACAGGGTTGTTGGAGCAGAGGTAGGGTCGGGCAAGGTGCTTGAAGCATTTGAGATTTTAAAGTGAGGACAAGGATCTTAAATTTGTTCTGCAGATGATGGGGAGTCAGTGGAGGATGGGAGTGATGGGCTCATGAAGCTGGGACAGGACACGGGCTACAGAGTTCTGATGGATTGCCATGTAAAGAGCACAACCTCAGACTCCATCTCTAACATGCCAAGGAGAAGACGGAAGACGGTGGCATACCATTTTATTTATGCTGGACACAGCTTTTACTCATAGCTATAATATAATTCTAGTTTACACAGCGAAATTATAAACCGTAACAAACTGTTTCATTGCTGTCTGGAGCCAGGAGTAACTCACCGCACCACAGGAATCTGGGCCGCCATGGAATAGAGTGCAAACCATCCGAACAACTTCAGCCTCCATCTTTCGCACCCCAGGGAAGATCTCTGGGTGGAGAGGGTTACTCCAAGCAAAGTCTCCATACACCTGAAAAGAAAGTAGACTTTCTAGCAATGTTCAAGAAATCATAGATTTCAATATTAATTGTTACTGACCTACAAAAACTAATAGTAAGTAGAGAAATACAATTCAGACAAGACCTCCTGGAGGCTTCTGTCGTGATAATAAATGCAAGAACTTTTATTTTTAGGGAATTTTAAAATTCACATCATGTTTATAGTTACTAAAACAAAGCTTTCATCACTGAAAATATTGTCATCAAACAATTCTACTCTCCACATTGTTACTACTCTGTAAACAATTAAACATTAAAATCAATATATACAGAAGGAAGCAAGATGATTAAGCAGAACTGATGTCACTTACACATAAACAAGCTTCCAAGCCCACAAACTGATTATGAACTATGCACTGTGTTTTTTCCATAACTACAAACATTCAGCAACTTGATATTGATCACAAGCCATTTCTCACCTTCACCATCAATTTTGTGAGTTGTTCGTCTCCACTATACACTGTCCCAGACACTTTTCCATCCTCCCAATGAATGTGCCCTATAAATGTAAGACAGAATTTAACTATTTACAGTGCTGCAGTTAATTTCTCTTAGCATGATGGAGATTTTACTCTTTAACACCACAATGAAATATATGCAAGGATTATATGATTGATGGACCAAATTTCTGTAATGATCCAGTAACATGACTAGCCAATGTTCTAAAGACAATGAATAGGGAGCAGGAGTGGTAATAAGAATAAAATCATCCTTAGACAGATACTGGATTTCAAGTCATTAAAATGTTTCTAAAGATTTCAAATTTACAATGAAATTAAAACGAAGCATTATGCGAGAGTACAATTTTAGATCATTTTAAACATACCCAAATCAAACAAATTGCATTGAACCTCGCATGCCTCAGCTGATATTTTGATGGTTGGGAGACTTTTTAAACTTTGTGGGTAAGGCTGTGTTTTTATGCAGTTTTTTAACTGATCAGCATATTTCGAACTTGCAATACTTGCACATTTGTCAAATATGTCTTGTCAATTCTCAAGAAACTCCCTGCATCCTTAAGGCAGTAACTACTATTTCACTTAGGTTTTATTCTTCTTCCCTATTGCACAAACTGACAAACATTGAGAGTGTCTGACAGAACCATGGTATGAATCATTCCGTTGAACATTTCCATTACAGCTGGGGAATGGGAAAGAGATTAAAGGAAAAACATTATTATAGGTAGTGCAAATATCTAGCTAGATTGTCACTGTTAAGGGAGCAAGAGTGTCACTGAGAAAAATAAAATAATTCTCAGACAAATGCTGGATTTCAAGGCTCTAAAAGTTTTTTTAAAGAAGATTTGAAATTTGAAACCAAATTACAGTATTATGAAAAACTATATCTCACAAAATTAAACAAATCTAGCAGATACAAACATTGAGACCAACTGGGAGTGTGCCACATATGGCCACAGTCCCTCTGGAATAAGGAAAGTAAAATAAATAGGTTAGATTTCCCATCTGCTCTCTAATCAGAATCACTGCTGTGAACATTGGGCAAGGACAAAAAATAAAGTTTTGAAAAAAAAGTACTGACCTGATGCATCTTCTTCAACATTCTCATATTATAGCTATTAGCCGAGATATTTTACACTAAAAGTATGTCAACCTATATGAATTTCTTGGAAATGATGGAAAAGTTGTAGTTTCTGAAATAATATTTACAGAAGAAGTGCATAATTTACCTAATAAGGTGTACTCTTTAAGTTTTGCTAATAAGTCAGTCTCCTTCAATCCATGAGATGGCAGTGCCTTGATGTATGTCATTCCTGCTTTAAGAGTTGTAACACTGGTAGTCAGGTCATCCATTGCCTTGTCAAGCTGTTTCTGTATCTGTTGATTAAATGTCACAAGTTTTAACAATTCAAATGCCATCAGGTCCAATTACACATTTGTAGCAGACATGAGATTTCTGCTAACAGGAGATCCACATTTATTTCTACTTACAATGATTTCAAGCGCTTGACATAATAACAATGAAAAACAAAACAGCCTATGATGAAGTTGTTTGAAACAAATTCTGCAGTCTAATTTATAATCCTTGCATTTACTGGCACAATATCACATCAAGATGACTCAAAGAATTTCACAGGATTTTACTATGAAGTGTAGTGACTGTGTATTTGTAGGATGACACAGCAGTCAATCTGTGGGAAGCAATGTCCCACAAACAACCATGAAGAGAATGATTAATCTTATTTGGGGGACTATTGGCTGGCACACCAGGAGAAACTCTTTTCTCTTTAGGTAATGTCACAGGATATTTATTTTTTGAATATTGAAAAATATTGGGAAAGGTTTGCCCCAACCAACACCCAAAAAATAAAGAACAAATTTCATTTGGATTTTGTTTTTAAAAACTAGCAAAGCAATATTCTTATGATCATTGGGATCTTCAATTCAAGCATTGAGAGTTTTGAACATTTAAGTTTGGATCATACTTTTGTTTTGCTACTCTTCAGATATTATGCATTGGTGAAATCTAACAAGCTAATCAGTATGAAAGATTTCTTGTTAGACACATATCAGTATTCAGCAACACAGGTTTTTAAATCACTCACTCCAAGCATTGTGGTTTTCTTTGACCTGAAAGCATTTCAAAAGCCAAAAAACAGAAAGTTACAGTGCAGGGAGTGACATCAGCTTCAATTAGGCACAGAAACAGTAACATTACCCTATGCCCCATTGATCCAAAGTTTTTATCATAGGAGTTGTGTTGAAATTTGAGATTTTTTATGACAGTGCTTTGTGATATTTTTGTTCATTCAGCAGATCAGGCTCAGCTTGTGATTCCCCCTCCCTCCCCCAAAAGACAGTGCAATTGCCTGTCAGGCAATATATTCTCTAAAGCTCACACATTAAGATTGTTCTTTGGTGAAGTACTGGATAGCACGTGTTTAATTCTGTTCCATCCTATTCTATTATTTCAGGTGCAAGTTTAAAACAATCTATGTTGCTCTTCTACAGGTTAAAATTATATTGGTAAATAATAGGTTACTCTAAATTATTTTAGTCCAATAGGTACTATAATCAGCAAAAATAACTATGTTCTAAACCAAGAGTTAAAAAATATATCTTGCAAATTAAAGGTTACTTACTGCAGAACCCACAAATGGCAATTTTCTTACGATTTTAAAAAATAACGTTTTAAGTCTTGAGGGAATACCTGCAAAAATAAAATTTATTTTTCAAGATATAAAATAATATAAAACATGTCTTTCTGAACCCTGCAAAATTCAAAATGATTCATGTACAATTGAAACTACTAGTAGAGAATTTGCAATTTGTGGTCAATGCTGTTACAGTTAAAGTAAAATCTGTAGAATTTCCATTTTAAGTAACATAGATATACTTTGAAAGGTAAGAATACAAAATCATAATCCTTGCATTTGATATATACACTGTAAAGTGAATTGGCAGTACATTTTGGGCAGAACACGGCAGCCAATTGCACACAGCAGCGTCCCGCAAACAGTCATGGATTGAGTGACCCATTTTTTAAAAAAATTCTCTTTTTTTGAAGAGATTATTACCCCCAGAAAGTAATCCGTCAATCGACTAACAACCACATGTCGGTGATTTGTATTTCTACAGCTCTGCCTTCACTGGAATCTTCAAAATAAACAGTCTGCCAATTGGTTGTGAAAATGTGGAGGATTATGCTGTACAATATTATAATAATTTCTGAATTAGAGTGAAGTAAATTACTGACATTAGTTTTTATATGAAACATCAAAGTCTAACAAAGTACTGTACAGTAGAGCTACAAATCTCAATTACAGTCTAACAATATTACAGTATTTAGGTTTCTTTCAAGATATATTTTGATGGGATAGCACACTGCAATTAATCTAAGATGCAAAAACATCATTCTGAACTGTAATCACAGAATCCCAGGGACAACTGCAATATGTGTTTATTAAAAGCAAGAAAATTCACAGCAAGGCCTGAGGTGCTTGGTTAACCGCCATCTAAGTAATTAGTTTTTTTTTGCAAAGCCAAATACGTACATGTTTTAAATTACAGATACAGTAATTTTGAAGTGGCAGAAACCCCTGCTGGAGACTGAACATTAGAAATATAAATGGTTTGCTTTATAATATAATTTTGCTTGTGGTTTAAGACAGGAATTTATTGTAAATGAGCGTGTAACCAAATTCACAATTTATTTCCCACAATGAAACTGACTACCAGTTTTCTTTAGGACACATTTAGTGAAGCAGTACTTATAAATAATACTTTTATTATTAATATTTGTAGAAGTTTAATATTAAACTTTCCCTAAACTATTAAATATTAAAATTTCCCTAAACTCTGGAGCACTCTCCCTCAATCCCTCCACCTTGCCCACTCTCTCTTTTTCAAATCCCACCTGAAAACCTTCCTTTTCAACCATGCTTCCAGCCATCTGCCCCCCACTCCCGGCTCAGAGTCACGCTCCGCCACTGCTAAGTGCTCTGAGATGCTACCCTGCATGCAGGGCCCTATATAAATTGTGGCTGTCAGTGACAAACGTTATTTATCAGCAAGTCTCTTCATAGTATGCGAGTTCCTTAATTTGGATTAATGTTGGCATTGATTATCAATTCATAATCTAAAGTTTGATTCATTACATACCCAAATTGACATATTCCGTTTTTTAGCCAACAGTTAAAACTGTAATTCTTACACAAGGAAAAACAGAATTCAGATGTGGCATCTTTGCTTAAAAGCTACACACATTTAGAGAAGTGGAGCTTCCTGCAGCGTTAATACTAGGAAATGACAAATTACAGTGTGCTCTATCATTCACCCTGTGTAAACTATATGGAAACACACTGTGTTATGCACTCTATGTAGGTTTACATAAGGAATTCTAGGTCTGTTAATTATGTATGTAACCAATAAAAAGGTTTAATGCAATTCCATCTAATCCTTTTTGTTGGTTATTAATTGTATTATAAAAAAAACTTGCAATTCCCTCTGTACACAAGCGTTGCACTTACTTTCCCTCTGAAATAAGAATTTGTGCAGCCACCCTGCCAGCAGAATAGCTATAGCTGTGAAAGCGATGATCTGCCATGGTTCCAGCCCTTTGCACTGTGAGTTCACGAAGCTCCTTCCCTTGTCTAAACACACCAAAGCACTTTTTTTGTAAAAGTGTAGTATTTCCTGCAAAAAAAAGTAGTGATGTTATGAGTTAGACATTGTTATTTGACCTCTAACAATCTGAAAAGAGAGCAAAAGCAGTCAGTCAATCTCTGGCAGTCACAGACATTCTTATGTTGGAAGCTCACATTTCCAATCCCCACCCATAACATTCCAAGAGCATAAATTGAGCTCTACCAAAGACGTAAAGAGTGGAAGAGGGCAAAAAAGTAAGAGGAAAACACTCAAGGTATTTTTAAACTAAATTTTGTTAACACTAATTATTAATTAAAATCTTGTAACTGAAAAGAATGGGAACTTGAAAGGGGAAAGAATAAAAACACACAAGGGAGAAGAAAACTGAAGCTCAAAATGGGAAAGAATTGCTGTTCCTTCAACCTAATTAATTCTGATGAACATGTTTATTCTTGTCTTCCCATGTCTGAAGCCTAAATCATATCACTGCTTTACCACTACAGAGAGAGATAGTAACACATGTTTGCTTATCTTTTCCCTTCCCTCCGTGTGCTCCCTCTCAAACATCCATGACATAGGCAGAGCGATAAATAGATCATTAATAACAACAACTTGCTGTTATATAGCATGCTGGGTTGCGTCTCAGAGTGCTTAACAGTAGCGAAGAATGACACCAAGTCAGGGAGAGAGAGGAGGTCTCCATAGGCACAGTCAAAGAGAAAAGTCTTCAAGTGTGATTTGATTTTTTTTCCATACAGAAAGAGATTGTAGTTCACTTGCTTTTTTAAAAGGAAATTTCTTAGTACAGTACTATCAGCAATTGACAGGAGGGAGCAAAATGGAGGGATTACGGAAAAGAGATCCTGAGTCTCGGGACATAATGGATGAAGCAAAGTCGCTGATGGTGAAGTGAAGGGGATGAGAAACATGCAGGAGCTAGGAGCCAGCTGAGCAAAGGGGCGGGGGTAGCAATAAATGCTCTTGGATTGTATAATCATATTTGTGCAACCTCCCCTTCAGAACACATCATGTTGTAACTTGAGTGGGGCCATCATTACACAGCTTGTGGAAGGCAAGTTGCCATTTTAACATTTTAGTTTTTAAAAGAAGCACATTTGACACAGAAAATGGGCTGAGATCCCAAACACTACAGCTGGAGCAGGTTTGCACAGCAAGTACATTAGATTATGAGATTCAGAAAAGTCAGCCAGTAAGTCTGGGGGAAGGATCTATGGAGACTTTGGCAAGGTATTTTAATTTAGTGTGAATATGAGCAAAGTTAATCATTGCTATAATTTCCATTTCTTTTCTTTCAATGCAGAAAGGGATTGGGTTTCCCACTTTTGTAAGGAAATTTATAAATACAGTACTCTCGGGAATTATATGAAAATCTAAGTGGTTCAGTACACGAAATACATTGTACCACGGGTAAGACATGAGTTAATGTCTTAACCACAGTTAGTGGAGCTGTGGTATTTTTTTAAGGGAAGAATAAACTGAATGTGAGTAACTGTTAGCTCATACCTCCCATTAACAAAAGCCAGGAGGAAGAAATTAGTTTTCTCAGTCAGTTGGCAATGAAACAAAAAAGCAAACAAACTTATTACAAATGCTAATGATTACAGCACCTATAGTAACAATGTAGTTACAAGCAGATTACTTTGATAAGGCGCTGTCTGTCAGTAAAACAGTAGCATTGCTATGCCAGTAGCTTGAAGTCTTACAGAAATACATTGGTCTGCAACATACAAAATACAAGTGGTACAAAAAAATAGCAAGGTGATTTCTCCACTATTTTCTCCGGTGGTAAATTCACTACCTAGTGGTCAACTGAACCAATCAGGCCAGGAAGGTCACAGTTTTAATCCCTGCTCTGTGCAGAATTAGCTCATCTCAGTGTCAATTTTGTAAGAGAGAGATAGATACCAGTGGTTTCATTTCTACTGTTGAAACATGTTTAAAACAAAATGGCAGAAACTGCTCATGCATGTCAAGGGGAAGTAGATGAGTGAGAAGTGATTCCATATGTTATGCAAAGTATAGATAGAAACCTACAAAGATAACACACACCACCACAATTCTGATGTTCACAAAAATAAAAGCATTTTGGGGCATTTTCAATTTCATCTTTTTCTCATCATTATAGTTACAAAAGGTAAATTCCATAAAATATATGGTTGATCCTTTGAACGGGTTCTCAGCAAAGGACTGATTGATGCAAAGTTGTTCTTCTAAAATGTATTCACTCAAATGTGCATAGGAAGTTGTTTCTCTATTCTTTGTAAATCTTCCTCTTTTTCCAGTGAAATAGGAAGCCACAAGCAGCCACAAAAATATAAAGCACAGTGCTTTGAACATTCATTAGTAATATCATTTTGCAGAAAACTCGAGTCAAGTTGTAAAGAGACCCTATGTTTTTTTGATGCTCAACCATACAAAAAAAATGTTTCCAATTTAGAAAAGACAGGGAACTGAAGTTAAAGACACCTAAACATCTGACTGAAGCTCACTATCCAGACTCACACCAAAGAAGAGTTAAATGAGCAAAATACTGGAGGACTGACAGCATAAAGACTGGTGCCTTCTGCAATGAACAACTATACTTAAAAGAAGAGCCTAGAGGAACAGGAATATGTGTCATCTCACCAACCCCACACGCTGTTCATCTTGTGTGTTCAGCTTTTTTCTAAATTCAAAACTTGTTTTTGTGTGTGCGCAGGAGCATCAAAAGAAGATGGTCTCTTTAAATCCAGATTGAGTACCTGATAATGGCATAATGAAGGATCACAGCACTGTGCCATCTTGAAATCACAGAAAATGTGCAGCACATTTGGAGGTTTTATGGCCCATCACGTCTGTGCGGGTGTGAGCTGCCCACTGAAGCTATCCTTATTCCCTTGCTCTTATCCCACAATCTTTAATAGCATTTTTCCTCAAGGGTTTTTCTAATTCCATTTTCATTGCTGTTGTGGACAAAGCTTCAACAGTCCTTTGTGTGGTAAGGCAGCCCACATTCTAACAACCCGCTGTTCTGAAAAAAAATCTTTAAACCTCTCCATTTTCTTCTGATGTTTAACCTCAATTTATCCCATCTTGTTACTTATTCGCAATGAGTGAAATAGTCTCAAGGCAAAGATTGAACATTATTCATTCAGACTGCAGCATTCCCTGCACAATATTATTTCATGAAATGTGAACAACAAGACTTGTTTTTTATTACAGGTTTCAGGAATCATTCCATTTAAAACCAGGGACAGAAGGGACCAGTCCCTGAGATTGAAACTGGAGGACAAAGCAGGTGGTCTTCACAGAATTGTCATTTTGAATAATTGAATTTTGGAGCAGCAAGTAATCAACCTGGGGTTAGTGAAAAGGTCGAAGGAGATTTAAAATTGAAAACAAAGAGATTAAAAGTTGTAACAATGTGAGGCATTAAGCGCAACTGCCAAAAGAAACCCAACACTTTCTCACAAGTCAGAACCAGTCATTTTCTAAATGTACGCTCATCTTGTACTAGCTGTGCTTTCAGTCCTCCCTCCCAACCCCGATCGGATGTCGAGTAATGGGGCAGACATTCCAGTTTGAGATGTCTGCCCAATGTAAAAGGCACCATAGAAATGTTAATGAATGTGTTTGTTGTCGAAAAAATACTTTTAACCCCTAGTATGGTATAATCATTGCTTAAGAACATGGTGTAAAATGATTCCTAACTGCTGTAACTTACTGGAAAATAATCTTTCACCAACATTGTCTCCAGATTAAAAATGTTGAACGTTTAGCATGATTCATGAGGTATTTTGATAACAGAAGAGTCTGTTTTAGTAACACTTACACAACAATAACAAATTACATTTGTATAGCACCTTTCACATCAGGAGGACGTCCCAAGGCGTTGGACAGTCAGGGATCCGCACCCGAGCTGGTGGTTGGGCTCAGGAGGGGTGGAGGGCAAGGAAAGTAGGGATAGGAGGGTGACTGAAGGTACGAACAAAGAGCAGAGTGTTCAGACGGGTCTTGAAGGAGGCCAGGAAGGGGACAAGGTGTAGGGACTTATAAGATGTTATGTTATACGATGTTAAGTGGTCAGTTTTTGGAGCCATTTTGGTTTAGCAACAGTTTTTTTTTGCCGTGATGATTGATTTTTGTTTGGGGTATGATTAATAATAATAATAATGAGAATCCTTGCATTTGATATAGCACCTTATCAAGTCCCCGAGACGTCTCAAAGCGCTTCACAGAATATACTGTGAAGTGAATTGACTGGATATTTTGTGGGCGAAATGCAACAACAAATTGCACACAGCAGTGTCTCACAAACGGTTGTGGATTGAGTGACCAAATTATTACTTTATATATTTTTGAAAAGCGTAGTGTGTTTCCCAAGCTGCTGAGATATGTAAGGCACTACAAACATGTAATTTGTTGTCGTTGTTTACTCGGGAGTCGGCTGCTGGGTGACCTCACATTCTACAAGTGCGTGGCATGCCTCCCTATGCATTGGCCTCATGTAGAGGTTCTGTGAGTCTTTCTGGCTTGACCAGCGATGGTGAATGTCTTTGTGTAGAGTTGGCCTTCACAGATTTATTAGCCAGGACACTGGGAGAAACACTCCCCTCTTTTCAAATAGTGACTTGGGATCTTTAACACTTGAATAGGCACAAACGAGAGCTTGGATTTAAATCTCATTCGAAGGTCGGCACTTCTAAGAATAAAGCATAACCCCAGCACTGCAGTGGAATATTAGCCTAGATGTCAAATTCAAAATCCCAACATAGGGCTTGAACCCACACCTTCTGACTCAGAGAGAACTACCAACTGAGCCAGTCTAACTCAAACTATTTGTCATAAATGAGATTTGAATCACTGACTAATATCTTTACACTGATGAGGTAACAGAACACTTGAAATATTTCATGTAAATGATTAACTTGGAAAGAAAGCAATCTCCTCTTTGACATTTTGAATCTTACAGAAACAGAACATCGCTGGAGAACTGAATTTCTGCAACCCTGCACATTGCAGCCCAGTGAATCCTTTTTGCACTCTGCATTCTAAGTCTGCTTTAAGTCCAAATCATAACCAGACATTTTGATGAAAGAATACACATCCGTTGTATTTTGACACCAACACCCCTAAAGAAATTACAGAAATATTTTGATCGCACATTTGCAATTGAGTTTCACACTTCTATTTGACAAAGTTGCCAAATGCAGCTGAAACCCTCGTGTATGCGTTCATCACCTCTCGCTTGGATCACTCAAACGCACTCCTCGCCGATCTCCGCAGCTCCACTATTCAAAAGATCCAGCTCAATCTCAATCTGCCGTCCACTTACTTCCCTGGACCAAACTCCACCGTCCACTTACTTTCCTGGACCAAACTCTGTACTCACATCTCACCAGTTCAGGCCAGGCTCCACTGGCTCCCCATCACCGAACGGATCGACTTCAAGATCCTCACACCTGTGTTCAAAGCCTTTCACTCTCTGGCACTTCCCTACCTCTCCGACCTCCTCAGTCCCCAATCCACCACTAGATGCCTCCGCTCGATTGGCACCAGCATCCTGCTCGTCACTCCCACCCTCTGCCCCACCATCAGAGGTTGTGCTTTCACCACTATGCCCCAAAACTCTGGAACGCTCTCCCTCAATCCCTCAACCTTGCCCCCTCTCTCCCCTTTTTCAAGTTCTGTCTGAAAACCTTCCTGTTTGACCATGCTTACAGCCAACCCCCCCCCATCCCACTCCCACCAGCCTGAGGGTCAGCCTCCGCCACTGCCAAGCACTCTGAGACACTACCTGGTGTGGAGGGCATTATATAAAGTGCAAGTTGTTGTTGTTCGTTATACACCCATGACATCTATAAAGCTCATCAAAGTTACGTTTACGTATTCACACAAAATGAGACCTAAAAGCAAATTGCATTAAATTAGATACAAATTAAATTCAATAGCAGGAAGCTATTGAATGACCCATGACACAGCAATTTACATTTACTTTCATATGAAAGAAACATCTCAAAATACTTTCCTCAGAAAAAGTTTAATCAGAAATGAATTGAACGGTCTGCTGGAGGTAAATGTGATGAGTAATTTCCACAACATTCATAGAAACAATTGGGTAAGTAGCCAATTAATTTCATTTGGGGGGCTGAATTTGAAGGAAAGAATATAAACGAAGATAAATGGAAGAAACACTCCACTTATCGTTGAAGTAAGTGGCCAGGATAGGGGAAGGATGTCCCAGAACATCCACCTGGATCACAAGGCAGAAAGGATACAAATTAATTGAAATTGATAATCTAGAAATTTTATAAGAAACACTTCTCCAAGAGAATAAAACAAGTCAGTTTATTGGAGAGCCCACGCCCCCAAAAAACAATAGTTTGGTCGCTCAATCCACGACTGCTTGTGGGACGCTGCTGTGAGCAATTCTCTACCGCGTTTCGCCCACAAAGTGTACAGTCCATTCAATTCGCGGTATATTCCGTGAAGCACTTTGCGATGTCTCGAAGACGTGATACGGCACTGCATCAAATGCAAGGATTATTATTATTATTATATTATTATTATTATTATTATGTTGATCTCCCAGACAACAAACAGCGCTCGGCACAAAAGGAGACGGCCAACTTCACGCCACAGACAGACAGACTGTTGCAGTGCTCCCAATGGAAAATATGCCACAGATCATCTTTGCTGTGACGCAAAACCGTGTTATCCTAATGGCAGAAGCAAAGCAACTGTGACTGTCCGTCGTGAGTTGTGGTCTGCGGTTGCCCGGTCACTCGGTACAACAACGATAGGCCCCGTCACCAGCTGTGCCGGAGTGAGTGGCGGTTACTGGGTCACTGTTGTGCGGCGGCGGCGGCGGCGCCGACCTTTGTTCTGTTAAACCGTTGGCGGTTACTCAGACACACGGTGTGAATTCTCGGCGCTGGACACAGCTTTTGTTTTGTTTCTCTCTCTCTCTCTCTCTCTCCGCTCCGCTCAGCCGCTGCTCACCTGGTACTCCATGGCTCGGCCTCTCCCTCGGTCACCTCCTCCCCGGCTGATGCCCTTGTCTGTGCTCTCTCTATCTCTCTCTCTCTCTCTCTCTCGCTTCTCCCTCCGCCTCTCACAGCGATGACCAGACCCAGCGACCCGCACCAGTCAGATTCACATGAACACAACCAGGGCGGAGCCGACCAGGAGGAGCGGCGGCGGCGGCGGCGGCGGCAGCAGCCGACCCGGCTCACTCCGCGGACAGCGCCCCCGCAGCCAGTGGGAGACTCAGCACCCACCCACCCCCATTAACCACTGAGCGAGCGCCCCTCACTGATCGGAAAGACATAACGCCGCCGCCCCACCCGACGCTGGCCAGTGAGATAGCGCCCCCCACTGGCCAGAAAGAGACTCGGCGCCTCCAACTGGCCAGTGAGCCTCGGGGTACCTGCTCTCTCCCAACCCCACAGGCCATCAGCCAAGAGTCCGACACGTGCGGAAACCCATCACCATGTTAAAGTGCATTCCAAACCAAACATGGAGTTCCGCATGTGTCTAGAAACGAACGAGCACTCTCTCCCCAGGGGGAAGACACCCTCCTTTACTTAATTCCACAAGAGCGCGACATGCAGGTTGACAAGAGCTAAGACTTGGAGTCCTGTGGCTCAGTGGTTAGAGCACTCGCTTTGCAAGTGAGAGACCTGAGTTCAATTCCAGGCACAGGGCGAAACCTTGGGCAAGTTTCCTTACTCCACACAGAGCCTAATAATAATCCCTCCAAAACCCAAAACAATAATAAATTGGTCATTTTCAATCTACGACTGTTTGTGGGACATTGCTGTGCGCAATTGGCTGCCGTGTTTGCCCACAAATATACAGTCAATTCACTTTACAGTGTACTCTGTGAAGCGCTTTGGGACGTCCTCCCGACGTGAAAAGCGCTATATCAAATGCAAGGATTATTATTATTATTATTATAAGACTTGCGGACCCTGTGTGTGTGTGTGTGTTGGGGTATTGCTGGAGCTTAACCGTTTAAAACGCTGAGCTTGCCATTGAGAGCACTTTAATTTTTTTTAACAAATCTTTAGATCCTTTCATTGTTCTTCTGTACTAAAAGTTCAAAAGAAATTCCAGTGGAAAATTAACTGGACAAATAGTCCAGCAGATGGCAGAATGACACCATTCTGAAAATCAACCTCCACATTTCTGGTCTGCAGAAGCCCTGATGTAGATTATTAAATTCAGAGCCTGTGTCCACTGCTCATATACATATATCAACGATAGGCTTGTGCTTTTCTTAAAAGGTATGGAGACAATAGTAACTGCTCAGTTCGTAAAAGCGCCAAGTGTTACTTTAATCAAATCACATCATAATGAAACAGAAACCAAAGGCTGCAGATCAGCTTCTAAACCAGTCCAAAGCCCTAGTCCTCACTGAAATTTATGGAGTTGCTCCCAGACGGCTTGAGTTTTGGTCCATCTCTTGCAGCCCTACAGAGGAGTAATGGCCTACAAACAAGATTAATCTCTTTGTCAGCCTTAGAAACTTTCAGTGATAATACATTTGTCAAATGTTGAAACTGGGCCCAATCCTTTTTCTCACCTGGCCTGATATCCACAAATGTGTACTTTTCCAACAGTACTCTTTATATATCATTCAGGAAGAGCATTTCTCCCACTCCCCTTTCCTTATCTCAGTCAGTTCACAGATGTCGAGGTGCATTAAGGAGAATGGAAGATTTTCACAGCAGAGCAAAAATAGAGAACAAGTCCATTTACCTTATTTAAATTCACATAGCTGAATTGCAAAACTCAAATCAATTGGATAGGCTTTGTTGCATGGTGTGAGAAAGAGAAAAGGGGAAAGGAAAAGCCTATAGTGAATTGTGTATTTGTAGAGACTTGAGTTTATTCCCACAAATAAAATAGCCACTTCATGCCTGATTGTGGAACACTACTATGTGCAAATGGCTGCAACATTTGCCTGAAAACTACACTGTCACTATACTTTATAGTATATTGTGTGAAGCACTTTGAGACATCTTCCTGTCACGAAATGCACTATATCAAATGCAAGTATTATTATATTTTGAATGCTTTTCTCATGAGGCCCAACAACAAGTGGATTAATTTCCTCCTCCTCACAACCACTCTGCACTAGAAGATTTGTAAGTCTACCTAAATACCACAGAAACTCATACCCAGATCAGTCTTAAAAATGAAAAAGGATTTCTGAACAAAAAAGATTTCAGCTTACAAGTAGCTTAATGAGCTCCTTAGCAAGACTCTAAACTGTCACAGAAGATCAGTTTAAATGTGTACCCCCAGGCTACTTTGCCCTCAACAAGCTATTTCTCTTTGCTTCTGGAGACATGAAGCCATTACTTTCCTTCTGAAATCTTTGGCTCATTGCACATACTTTACTCCAGTGAGTGTTCCCAAGTAGTTTCCGTTACTGGTTCATTCTCCCAACAATGACCGTTCCTACAGAAACACTTGTCTACAATGAAATAGTTTCACAACAGAGGAAAAACATTCACTGTCACCATATTTTGCTGAACTTTTTTGAATCCATCTGAATTTTGGAAAAGTGGAGAAAGGTTAGGATAAGAGGTAGAGTTATATTGATACAATGTAGAGCAGTTTTTTTTATCAAAAGGGGGTATATGTTGTTCAAAAGGTAGTTGTCAAGGATATCAGAGACAGAGAAATGCAATACATAATTTGAAGAAATGTTCACATGTAGGTTGACATTTGTTTTAGCAAAATCCAAAATACTAAATACCATTTTGAAATATATTCATGAAGCTGTGAATGCTATTATGGAATGCAATCGTCAGCCTGTGGTTCAGTTCCCTTAACCTCTAGACTGTCGATTAATGTATGGGGCTAATAGTCATAAAATTACTCACAATCTGAAGGTAGTTCCCTCAATTATTTAACCATGTCACTGAATAGTAAAACTTAAAGGGAAATTACACTACTTTTCAAATAATTGTTTCAACATTATTTCTCACGGTGCTTATTGGTAAACATACATATCATTATTAATTAGAGTGGGGTATGTTCTGAAACAGTACTGCATGGGTTCAAATGCGTGTCTGTGTATAAAGAGGAAGTGAGACTCCTGTTTGCCCGAGATCAATCAAATGATCATAAATTAATTTGTGGGATAGGCACTCAAACAATGAAGAATAGCCTGTAAGAATAAAGAAAAGCTAACTTTAAAATATTAGTAGTCTTATTTAACATGCAGAGGAATATGAATATTTTTTTCAAACTGCCTTTTCGGACTTTTTAAATTTAAGTAGCTGAACTTTGAAGACAGAACTGTTCTCTTGTATTTTAAAGTTGGTATCTTGGCATACTGTGGAATCTATTTTAGAATAAGTTGGAAGCACCTGGAATTAAGAGTGTTAATGAACATCATTTGACAAGGGGAGTGAATACATTGCACTGTGTCAACAATGACTGTACCACCTGCCTCATGAAAGGAACAGTGAAGGATGTAAATTGGTGTCCATCAGAGAAGATCTTCCTTTTGGTTTTTTTCAGTAGGAGTGAATTATTTGCTTTTAATCCAACCTGTCAAAAAGGGGGTAATTCAAATATGATTAGTTCACTTAAAAGTAAAACAAGCCTGGATATTAGATGGAACATGCTACTGTAATAACATACCCATTTTATTTCAGTTTATTTTGCAGTCAAAATAAGAGTCAAATCTGTCTATGGTGTACTTAATATTCATGCCAGTGACAACTAGATTAGTTCCTATTAAAATGTCTGAAGAGAAATGTCTTGTTTCTTTGAAGTGTATTATTTTGGTATTTTGCTGAGGTATCTGAGCACTGTAATTTTGAAATCCCACCCTTTTACAATGCTTACAGAAAAGCAATAAAGCCTTTTTAGATACATTGTGCTCCCTGCCAAAAGGTTGCCAATGGTGTCTGTAATGTCACTGTATTTTTATTCATCGTATCACTTTGATCCAATTGCATGACATAGGTGAGGATTTAAGAGTTCTCAAACATTGAAGCCTCCAATAGTCTCATTTGCTTAGCTGTACCTTTGCACTATTGCTCCTCAATAGAACAAGTGATGTTATTGTTTTATAGATTATATTTTTATACAATATGATAAGGATGTGGCATTGCTGTGTTTTAATTATAAAGACAGTAAGAGGTTACCATCTTTAATAAATAAATCTACTAGACTGAGTGGAAAGTGCTCCTACAAAGAATTGCCCTTATCACTTACAATTTTATTGATAACATTTTCCAACAACATCCTTCAGATTTTGAGAAAAAGAGGAGATTCAATCAGACTGTTAGATAGATTTGATTTTGAATCATGCAATTCCTAAATTCACCTTAACCCACTTCACTCAATAAACTATTTTTATATTCCACCTCTGCCAATGGTACAGTGGTACAAAATGGAGTCAGCATGGTAACTTTAATTACAACAAATGTCATGTCAAGAGCTCACCTACCCGGCTTTGTTGCAATCTATCTGGTGCTGTTTCTTCATCTAATGAATTCACTAAGGTTTTCCAAAAAAACACGCATTTACAATTACAATTTATAATTAGAAGTCACTTCAACACAAAGAGTGGTATTTAACTCAGATTGAAAGCAGATTTTAAAGATACAAGTATAAATATTAACATGCCTTTGCCAGACCAGAGACTAGAAGAATTCACCAGCAGAGTTGCGGATATATGTAAGAGTAATTAATGCTGTGTCAATAAATCTTGTTAACAAATAAATCTGGTTAAGAATAGGTTTGAAGATTATAATAATTGGCAGAGATGCAGATGAAAAACAAGAGGTTCTTGTACTGCTGGGGCACAGATATAGGATGCAATACAAGGTTGAGCTGAAGTGGTGCATTTTAAATAGGATAACTATTACGGGGTTTAGTACCATCACTCCTGAGAGATTTGAAAGCTTTATCATCATGGAAGTTTACGTGGAGTTATCTGCCTCTTTCAGGAAATTGAATAGGTTGGGAAGAGTGCATGATAAAGCAAATTATACATGGAGTATTGTACAGGGAAAAGTTCAAAGAGCCAAATGTTTTTTTCCCGTTCCATATACTTTGAGGCCTCAAAATGGCAACAATATAAACTTTAAATCAATAGATCAAAGTTAGAAATTAGTTTTCAAAAAAAGTTACACTAAAAAGGCAAAGGGAACAGACTAAATCAGT